ATTCTGGGGCTTCGTCTGACATACTTTGGACATGTTGTAAGGAGAGACAGGTCTTTAGAGAGGGACATCATGCTGGGTAGAGTGAGGGACAGCACAGGAGGGGAAGACCCTCTATGAGGTGGATTGACTCAGTGACTGGGGTAATCAGGATGGGTGTGTCGGAGGCAATGTGATTGGCACAGGATAGAGCCAGGTTTAGGGCTGTCGTACATAGGGTCACTATGAGTCGCAAACGACTCTACGGCACATGAATACGGTACAACAGTATTCATGGAAGCACTTGTTTCAGCTCTAGTTGTTGTTTTCAGGCTCAAATAAAGGACAAGTAAATGTATGGAAAAAGAAACCACTAAATATATGGATACAAGTAAAAACCTTGGTATCAGTGTATGTATATGTTGTAAAATTATCCCTATGAAAATGTTTTCTACTAAAAATAAATGTAATAGTGTTAGCATGTGAAAAACTGTTTCCCAGCTCAATTCTTAAATGTCTGCATATAGGAGGAGAAGAGGCAGAAGAGGCGATAGATGGAGAAGTCTACAGGAGACACTTAGAGGCCATCCTTAAAAATATACCTCTGAAGAACAGCCTAGACCATTTGTTAGCCAGGTAAGCTAATACTTTATTTGTAGCATTTATATTGTTGTCACTTCCAATTCTGTAGGACAGAGTCCAGTACAGAGCCTAGAACCTAAGGATTCCTAGACAGAAGTCTTTTTTATTGTTGCTGTTGTTGGTGTTATTATGATTTGAGTGAAAATGTACAAAGCACATTTGTATCCATTCAGCTTTTCCTGTATATTATTCCATGACATTTACTACAGTCTCGCATGGTGTAATTACCTTGCACAAACATTGTCTGTGGTGCTTCTTTCTGCCCTCTGGCCCTCTGAGTTCTGTCCTTGTGATCCTGTGTGACTGAGAATTCTGGTTGCTGACTCTCTCTCTGGGGTTATAGGTCACCTTCTGGCTCTGTCTGTTGTTTGGATAAGTTAAGCCACTGGAGTGATTTCCATTTTAGGGTCAAAGGCCAGCTAAGGGCCCTGGCCCAGGATTCTGCCCATCCCTGCAGGCCATTACACCTGGTCATTCTTGTGATTTTGAGTTTTGTTCTTCTTTTATCTCATGGTCTGTCCAGGGCCTTCTATTACTGTGAACCTCTCAGAGCAGTTAGTGGTGGTATCGGGCACCATCTCGTTTGTCACATGTTTCTTGAGTGCAAGCAAGCTGTCATGTGATTCAGTACTTTGTCCCTCTTTCATGTGATTGAGTAATAATTGTATGCATTACTACAGTGTGTTTCTTTTTTCATCCACTTGTGGACAGTTGAGTTGTTTTCATCTTTCTCTGTTATGGATAACAGATTAGTGTGCATGCATAAGTCCCGTTTCTCTTGAATCTGTACCTGACTCAGTTCTTTTTTTTTCTCTATAATTATATTTTATTAATTTTCATAAACATTTACAGAGATTTTGGGTTTCCATTCATTCATTGTTGCACTATTCTCTCTACCCTCCTCCCAGTTTGTTCTTGTCCAAATGCCACAGTGCTTGTCAAAGCCAGTTCTGATTAATCTTCTTTGTCAGTGTGTCCTTTGCCATTCCCTATCACTCCTCCCTGAGAGAGACTTCACCTTGAGTCATAAGGAAAAGGGGATGGCGTATTCTCTTAGCTACTTCCTGCTGAAAAGGGATGCTGTGGGTTTCAGGGTGAAGATCTTCTCTCACTACTCTGGGTTGGAGGTCAATTCCTGAAGCTTTCTATTTTGCGATTTTTCCATGATATTCTAGAAGCTTTTATTTTTTTCATTCTTTTAACTTACAATTTTGTAACTTTTTAGTTAATGAAAAGAAATGCAAGAGTGGGGTTTCTTTTTTCCATACTCTTCTTTAATGTTTATTTGTGGTATGAGAGTGTTAACAGTTAAGCCTGGTTTGGGATATAGCTAAGTATGGTTTGTAGCTGCACAAAATTCTGTTAAATTCCTAATAGGGCTAAAATGCCTGAAATAATACCTCATACTTGGTATTCTGTAAATACCACTAAAAACGTAACATTGATGGTGGGTACCCAGGGAAGATTTTTTTCTTTACAGGTGATGTAGTCTCCATTCCTCACTTAATTAAAGGGTGTCTGGACACTGTGAGAGAGCACAGGCTTTCTGGGCAGTCATCGTTTGGGTCCTGCCACCACGACTTGAGGGAGCATCATGGTGTGTTGGGCTCTGCTTTTTGTCACACACCAAGGGTCACTACATGTTAGCTGTTGCTCCTTTTATTGCTCCTTGGGCAATGTCTGTTTCTTTGCCCTCACATCGACTCTATCAGCATTAAAAGTTCTGTCTCGTAGGGATGGTGACATTTAGAGATAATGCTTTAGAATACCTGGAACCTGGGTGCTAAGTAAACAGTAGCTCAGCTAAAGGGTTTGTGTGTGGTTTTTTTTTTTACAGCCTTCTCTTCGAAGAGTACATTTCATACAGCTCACAGGAAGAAAGCAACTCTGATAAAGTGACTTTGCTTAATGAACAGTTTCTTCCACTTATCAGACTTTTAGAAAGCAAGTAAGTTATGATTGTGTGTTCTCTCTTCTTTAATGTGTACTTTTTATGGAACGAAGAGATGATTCCTAAATAAATAGTAATAGCGTGAATTGTAGACATAGTTGTCATTTTTCTTTTTTCTCTTTCTTTTGTTTGCTGTGGAGTCAGAACCAACCCATAGCTGACCCTCCAGCAAGTTTTTAGGAGCAGTTAATTGCATGAGAGATGGCCTGTCCTCTCCCACCTACCAGCTGGTGGATTTAAACCTCATGCCTTTGGGTTTGCAGCTCAGTTTCTTAACCACTAGGCCACCAGAGCCACCTAGTAAGAGTGAATTGTAGAGATGCTGTTGTTTTTCTTCTTTCAAAAACAGGTCAAACCTATTGCTATCAAATTGGAACCTACTCATAGCCCATCTCCAACCAGTTTTCTGAGATTGTAAATCACACAGGGAGAGATTGTCCTTGATTGACTCAGAGCTCAGGTGGATTTGAACCACCAGGTAGACACCTTTGATTACACAGGAATTCGATATTTTTTCAATATAAGAGGAAATATGGATTGTGTGTTACCTGTAAAGACTGTAATTTTTATATGTTGGTATTATGTATCTTGTTATTGTGTGTTTTAAAATCTGAACAGACGATAGCTGACCCAACTCTTCACCCACTAGGCCACCTGAGCTCCCTAATTTTAAAAATTTTTAGATAATGTATTTTTGTTGTTGGAGCTTGTCATTACCAGTTGGAATTTTGTAGACCACTTTTTAAAATGTGGAGGTTGTCAGTCAATCTCAACCTTAGGTTTTGTTTTCTGCCTAGTGTACGTGTTAACAACTTTTCAGTGTAGTGAATGCATTCCTTCCTCCTCCCAGATACCCTCGAACGCTGGATGCCGTACTAGAGGAACGCCTGAAAGAAGTCACAGATCTCAAAAAGCAGGAGCAGTTCCACCAGTTTATTTCTCTCTCTACAAGTGGAGGAAAGCATCAGGTAAGCTCCTCACCAGAGGAGTGGCAACCGGATTAGGTTTGTGTGATTGTTTGAAGAACTACAGCAGGATACTTGCTACTTACCCTTTTGAGACTGTTTCCTAGAAAATGAAATTTTGTACAATTTGATTAGTTACCAGAAGTTTGATTCCAAGGCAGGAATTGAGTGATTGGGAAAAGCACATTCATTTTGTTAGTAACGAGCGATACTTCCCTCTGGAGGTGGTGTGTGCAGTCACTTATAGGGAAGCTTTTTGCAGTCTTCTTGGGGTGTCCCCTGGCCCTCAGATCTGCACTGTCCACATCTGGGCTCACTAGCACAGATGGCCACCTCAATTACTCAGGAGAAGAGAGATGAGTTTAAATGTTTTGGTCGTGCTACAACAGTGATCTGGTGATGGTGCCCTAAATCTTTTTACTAGAAATTAGACATACCTAGCAGAAAGTCTTATAATTAGCCTTAAAAATAGATCTTAGAAAGAGAAATAGGACTGTCTTAGATTTTGCTCCCATAAACACCTGTCATCTTTAATGACATTTTTTTTTATTTCCAAATTATAGGCTAATGGACTTCTATAATTGTCTAAAAAGATAAGAGAAGGAAGCAATTGTCTATTGTTAAATCATTGATAGTTTTTTTAAAATTTTTAGGTGCTTTTGACCAAAGTACTTCATATAGTTTCTTTAGTGCATTAAACCTACATACACATGCACTCAGGTCTACACAAAATCCGACCTGTGCAGTCACTGGAGAGCTCAGCCTGCTTGCAGCTTGTATCATGTGGTGGAGGCTTTACTGGTGGAATTCGGTGTTTGTGATTGAATACGTTGGGCATTCTGGGGTAGTTTTTCATCTTGTTCTTGGGCTGCTGGACCTTTATATCAGTTATCATCATTTGATAGTTTTGGTGAATCCTTCAGTTTCTAGCAGATTCTGACACCTCCCTGATGCTCAGTCTGAACCATCCACTGGCACCTGTGAGACTTCTGGCTGTCAATCACCTGAAAAATGTCTTTGAAACTTCGAAGGTTTGTATAAACCAGCTTTTCTTTTTTTTCTTTATGATTAAAAGCACACTTCCAGGGTTAAGACAGTAGAGTTAGCACTGGGAATTGATGTTATGTGATTTTAAAGATGAGTTGAATGTGGTGGGTGAGAGTACCTTGGGCAGATATCCCTAGCCATGGTAGGAGCCCTGTTACATCCCATTAATACCCTCATAACAATTCTTTTCATGGCTCCACATTGCAGGACATTGGTTTCACTTCAATCTGTAATTTGTATTTAGATCCACAACAGTCATAATTCCCAGTGAAGTTGGTAGTTTTGAGATTTGATATTGATGGTCAAGCACTTTTTGGGGCTTTGTAGCAAGCACTGCTTCAGGTTCTGTAAGCGCTGCATACAGTTAGGTCTGTGGCGATAGTCTGGTGCTTCCAAATAGTGAGGACACAGTTTGGAAATTATGCACTAGACTCAAGATTGTCGGTTCTTTTAAATGGACTCTATCTTGGTAGCCTCCATCATGGGTTTTGAAGTGCTCATATGCTTTTTACTGTAATTAAAGTAGGAATGTTGACTTATGCAATGCATGAAATACCTCATGTGTCAGTGTTTGCTTATTTGGGAAATTTCTGCGATCGAGGTGTGGTGGCAGGCTTTACATAGCAGGCAGAAGTAAAAGCATGCTTGAGAGCTTGGGTCAGAGCTGTTAGAATCACATTCATATTGCAGGCAAAACAATTTCCACTTAACAAAATTATCACATCACATCAGCTTGCATTTTGCTGTTTAGAATGGCTGAGGCTTACTTTTTAAATTGGTACATCAAGCACTTCCAGGCCCTGTGATCATGTTTCTGTAAAAGGGTTGATGGACTACTTCAGTCAGACAGTTGTTTGTTTTTTAGATTAATCGCTAATTTGGCGTGTGCTGATGATTTTGTCAGATTGATGGGAATAATTGAGCTCATTGAGTACTAGCCTTTGTTTTTCTAGGGAGTCTTGGGGATCTAGAATGAAAAGGGATTCCTAGAATTTGCTTATGTGCCTCAAGCTTTCAGATCCTTTAACCTTTACCTTCTCTTCCCCCCCCCCTTTAGCTTCTTATTTTTTGTTGTGTTTCATTCATGTACATTGTTCTTTTGGGGTTCCCCTCCCCGCTCTCTCCCTCCATCCACCAAATTCTGCAACCCCATGATTTCCCCGCCGTCACCACCCTCAGTGCCACCACTCCCTCCCCTTCCCTCTTTGTATATCCTTACATATCTCACTGGTTATCCTTCTGTTTTTACAATAATGTTCTTATGTAGTATTTGTTCTTATGAATCTGAGTTAATTCACTCAGCATAGTACAGTCGTTGCTGCTGAGTGTACCACAGTTTCTCATCAGTCCCTTAGTTTGTTGATGGACATTTGGGCTGTTTCTGTGTTCTTGCTATTGTGAATAATGAACTATGGATATCGGTATATGCCAATCTCTAATTGTATCTCAGGTCTGTTTTCTGTGTCCTCAAAAAGCTGAATACAGAGATTCCATATGACCCAGATCTACCACTGCTTTTTAACCCTTTCCATTCCCCTATGCATTGAATTAGTTTTTTAAATGTATGGCTAAAATATTTTCAACTTAGAGACTCAGATTTTGTCACTTAACTCTCTTTTCATGTAAGGCTTCATTTCTCCATCAGGGGGATAGGTCATAGGCTCTAGGATTCCCCATTGAGGTTGTTGGCACTTGAAAGAATTTTGCTGGTGTCAACACAGGGAACCTTGACTTAGTTTCCCTCCTAACAGAGTGACTTGCTATTATAGCATTTTTTTTCCTTTTTATCACCTACTTGTACAATTTTGTTCAAGCTGTCAATATTATTGTATTTGTTCCTTTAAAAACTAAGATACCTAATTTTAAAAGACTGATTTTTCAATGTTGTCCTTATTCTTATAAAAATCTATGTAATAGAAATAGCGAACTTTTAAAGAACCTCATATAAGTTGCATCCTGTTCTAAACCCTAACATATACAATGCAACTCTAATAACTTTTGGAGAGAGATACTGTTATTAACCCTGTTTTCTTTCAGGGGAGATCCCAGAAAGGGTAAGTCCCTTATTCAGGCCACACAGCTGATGGCAGAGCTGGGATGGAAACCTAGGCATTTTGTCTGATTCCTTTAAACAGTTGGACTCCTCTTTAAAAATTATGTTTGGATTGCACATATTTTCAGTGGAAAAACGAAAAGGCTGTACTAAACAGTTGTTAATCTAAAAATACTGTTGAGAGATGATTTTGTTCAGTACGTGTGTAATTAAAATGTTTGAGGCTCAGGCAGAGCAAACCCTCCTTTTGTTTTAGTGGAGAGTCTTAGGAAGGTTTTAGCAATGGGAGAATCAGTATTTTTTTCTCTTTCCCTCAGGAAAGTATTGATGAATCTTTCGTAAAAGAAGCTATTTTAGCCCGACTACACGATGATAACATTGAAGTTGTTCTGTCAGCCCTGAGCGCTTTGGAGGTGAGTGAATTGTTGTTTATCGAAATGTAATTGCTGTGTGTGTGTATTTTATTATCCGTTTTATATGATCCCGCATTCTAGGTAGGAAAATATTTCAAATTCTTTTTCCACTGGAAATTTATATATATATATGTAAATTTGAATATATATTAAGCCTGTTTAGTGGAAGCTCTTCAGAATAATTACATTGTACAATTTGATGTATATGAAATTTGTGCAGAAAGGAAAAAAGTGCATTCTATTTCTTTTACTGTGTAAACGCTAATAGTAAAAGTCATGGAACCATGGAAAATTGATTCATAAATACCACTTGAGAAATTACTCTTATAAAACTTTTAAGTTACAGTGAGGTTCTCTAGAAAGAAATTCTTTGTAATTTATTATTTTCTCAAGTTCACTTAAAACCCACTATGTTTTTCTTGTTATGTGCCATTGAACCTTAAAGCAAATAAAAATTTACTAATTTTTGTTTTCTTTTTTTCCTTCCAGGCTTTCAAACAGCACTTTAGTTCAGAAGAAACTGTTTCAAACCTTCTGAATCTCTTTCAAAAAGCAGAAACCTCAAAGAACAGGGAATGGTAGGCATTCATTTTTCTTTATGTTTTTATGAGTTGATAAGGTTTTTGTCTTAAGGTCACATTGGTTCTCTTCCTTTTTTGAAAGTTTTTTGCAACTTTAATTATGACTTTTTAGCTACAGTAGTATTAAGGTTCTGGGATACTTTCATTATAAAAAGGATATGAGTTTGGAGACGTTGAATTTTTTAGTAATGTAAAATGACGTTTACTGTTGATGTTGTGTACCGTTGAGTCAGCGGTTTTTTCAGAGGCAATAAATTACACAGGAGGAGATTGCCCATCCTTCTGCAGAGCACCTGATGGATTTGAGCTGTGTGTCTCTATGAACCAATACCTGGAGAAGTAATATGGAAGAAAGCTTGAATTCTCTGCATAACTGTGTATTTGATTTTTTTTTTTGCACAGATAACGTTTACCGTTAAGAATAAACACAAGTACTGTTAAAGTTATGCCAGGGATACATGATACTTTCTGTTTAGTGGAAGCTCTTAAGAATAATTAGGTTGGGTTTTTTTAAAAAAAGAATATTATTATTAGATATATATCTATACATATATACACACATATTTTATACATATAAATATATATGTGTGTGTGTGTGTGTAATATACAAAAAATTAGATGGATATGAAATATCTTCAAAAAAGAAAAAATTGCCCACTATTTCTTTTATTATATTTTTATTAATAGTAGGTATTAGTAATAGTAAGTATTTTATAACTTTTGCTTATTTCCCTTTTGGCACTTGAGCTTTTACTATGGGAAAATGAGGAGCCACCTTGGGTGATGTGATAGAAGCATACGCCTTGTAGCTGCCTCATCTAGTTCTAGCAGGCTAAAATGGACAATTGAATCTCTGATTCTAGTTTATTGTGGATATGCCATCAAGTCAGTACTGACTCATAGCTGACCCTCTAGCAATTCTCCAGGGGCTGTAAATCACATGGGAAGAAATTGCTCATCATTCTTCCACAGAGCACCTGGTGGAGTTGAACCACTTGCCTTTGAGTTGGCAACATAGCTCCTTACCGTTAGGCCACCAGAGCTCCCTGATTTCTAGTAATGTGGGACATTTGTGATGCTTTGTCTCAAAACAACAAGGCAGAGCATTAAACCCGTGACCTTGTACGCAAAGTGAGAAACCTATTAGTAGACCAGGGATCCAGGTCTGTGATTCAGTTCCGACCCGACTCCACAGCAATGAGTGAAAGACTCAAAAAAAGATATTTGAGAGAGCTACAGTTTGAAATTACTGGCCTTGATATCCAATTTACTATCATGGAATTTAAGTGATGTTGAAGTAAGTGGAGCTGAAACAACACCAGGATAAGTTTTTGTTGAACCACAGACACGTGTGTCTTGTTTGTTAAGCACATAGACATCCCTCTGTCCTAGGTACAAGGCTCTGGAGATGGCAGCCGGCGTGCTCATTAAGGAGGAGGTCCTGAGTGAGGCCCAGGACTTGGCCAATCAGGTGGTCGTGCACTTGCTACCGTACATGGTCTTCATCAGTGAGGACAAGGCGTCGGCCGAGATGAAAATGGCCCTGTACTTAGCAAAATCAGGAATTTGTTCTCTGCACCCTCTGTTAAAAGGCTGGAAAGAAGGTAAAAATAGTTAGTTGCTCTTAGGTCAAAAAGATAACTGAAGAAGATGTGTTATAAATGTTCCATAGGGGAAGGGGAACAGGAGAAGGGCGCAAAAAGGGGAGGGAGGGAGGGAAGTGGCTAGGATAGCAGAGGTTAGTGGGAAGACAGAGGGTAACGAATAGGGATGATTCAGTGGGGCTTGAAATGATGGGGAGATAACAGGCAGAGATGAATAGTCATTCATTATCTACAGCAGTGTAGACGAAAGTGTAAAAATCAGTGTATATACGTGAAACAAGATGGATGAATGATTGTATGCAAACCAATAAAAGTGTGTAAAAAAGGGAAACATCACATAAAAGTACGATAAAAATGTGGCAGTCATTATTAATATTTGTTATGATAAGTATGCAGTGTGAAGGAAGTAGACCTGTAAACAGATGAATTCAGTTCTTGGCTGGAAGGAAAAATAATGCACACATCTTCCTAGGAAAATAGTGAAATTTTACCTAAATTCCTTACTTTGCCTGATTCTCTGAGTGTCAGTCATTTAAGTGATTTCTTCTTTTTTTTTTAATCCCCTTAGTGCTTGAAAATGTGTTTAAAAGCACAAAAGCAGGCAAGCTGATTGGCACAGCAAATCAGAAGATGATACGTTTGTTGGCAGAAAATGTGCGTTCAGGGGATCCTCCTTCAATGTTGCAGATGGTAGGTGTGCTGGGAGGGTCCACTAAGGTTTGAGCTTCTGCTCTCTTAGGCCCACTCCAGCTTCCCTCAGGAGTGGGAACCTCTAGGGACCACAAAGGTTCAAGCTTCTGCTCTTCTCAGCCCACCTCCACATCCCTCAGATGTGGGCACCACTGAGGCCCACTAAGGTTTAAGCTTTGGCTCACCAGGCCTCTCCCGCTTCTCTCTCTGCCTGAGCCCCACCCTTTCTCCTCTTTTTTTTTTTTTTTGCGCTTTGAGTCATTCTTGCATTTTTTAGTACATTGGTGTTTTGTTCTAAACATATCAGTGTTATGGGGTTTGGTTTTATTTTGGGGGGGTTTCCCAGTTTTGTCATGTATGGTGTATGTTAGTATGTTCTGAATTTTTAATCCCTTTTTCCAATTTGATTCTGCATTGTACCAGTCAGAATATGTGTCCATTTCACTTTTCCCCTCTTACTCTCATTTACAATATTCACATATAGCCCTGTCTGTCAAAATAGTAAAATATAACCTAGGAAAGGAGAAAATTACGTTCCCCTTAATAGAATTTCAATTTTTGTGAAATCATTAGATGTGGATTTTTTTAAAAAAAATAAGTAAGAGTTACCTGTTTGGCAAATGCAGTCATACTCTTTATTTTTTTTGCCATTACTTTGAAAACTAAACTGCTTTTTCTATAGGCTTTGTATTTTTCATATTATTTTAAACGTTTAAACACCTGGCGGCCTGATAGCCCACAGTGGAGAATGGCTGTGTGGCAGTGAGGGCTGGCGGTCACGGGCTGTTTCCCTTTCAAGGTGGAGGATTTAATACATGTCGGTGAGAAGGAGACCCATGACCTGCGGCAGAAGGTGACTTTCCACGTGATCATGTCTGTGCTCGTCAACTGCTGTTCATCTTTGAAAGGAACTCACTTCCCGTTTGCGACAAGAGTCTTCAGCTTGTTGCAGAAGAAGATAAGGAAGTTGAGGAGTGTCGTCACCGCAGTGGTAAGGAGCCTGGGAGGTCTTGAGTGAGTGACAGCCCTACAGTGGCATTGTGGTGCTTGGGAAACACAGGACAGCTGTGGATAGTAAGTGTGTGGGGTCGTGGCTGCCTGACTTCTACAGAAAATGTAATTGAATTGTAGACTTTTGAGGTTGCAAAGTTTCATGCCTGATATTTGAATCTGTATTAGGTATTGTCCAAACCCTGAGAAACTCTGCTGACCTGTTTCATAGCAGACGACGCCACTAACCCAGAGGCTCTGGCCGCCGGGGTTCAGATGCATCAGGGCCTCAGTAGGAGAAGGACAGGCAGTCTCCCGTTAAGATTTACAGCCCCAGAAACCAGATAGTTGTGCATATCATCGAGTTGGAACCCACTCCCAGCTGACTCTCCAGCAGGTTTTCAGAGGTGGCTAATTGCTTGAGAGGTGATTCGTCATCCTCCCACAGAGCAGCTGGCACTTGCAAACCACTTTGGGGTTGCAGTACAGCTTCTTACTACCAGGCCACCAGAGCTCCCTCCAATAGAGGGTCATCAATGAGTCAAACGTAATTGAACAGCAGCGAGTAGTAGTTTTGTTGTTTTGAGTTTTGGGTTTTGTTTTGTTTTGTTTTTAACTTAAGCTACACTTTAAGTTCCTTTAGTGACAGATACATTTCTTGGTATATCAGTGCTCGAACAAAATATTACTTCATGAAATTATTTACATACACCCAGATCTTTTGTGCTGTTTTAACTTTTATATCACATTTGTTTGTTGTTGTTACTGTTTTTATGTGCCGTTGGGTCGCCTGTGATTCATAGCGACTCTATGTACAACAGCCCTAAACCCTGCTCTATCCTGTGCCAATCTCATTATACCCAACACACCTAGATGTCCTTCTCCAAGGACTGGTCCCTCCTTGAAACATGTCCAAAGTATGTCAGACAAAGCTTTAGCATCCTTACCTCCAAGGAGCAGCCTGGTTTAACCCTCTCTAGGATGAACCCATTTTTTTTCTTAGCCGTCCATGGTATATTCAGTACTCTTTTCCAGCACCACAGCTCAAAGGCATCAATTCTCCTTCTATCCTTCCTAGTCATTGTCCAACTCTGACACATAGCAAGTGATTGTAAAGACCATGGCCTGTATCGGGCACACCTTAGTCTCCAGACTGACACCATTGCTGTTCAGTACTTTGGAGAGGTCCCTAACAGCAGACTTTTCCATCGCAATATGTCTTAATTTCTTGGCTGCTGATGTCAAGAGTGTTGACTGGAGCCAAGCAAACCGAAGCTGTGAACAATCTCAATCTCTTCACCATCCATCCTGACGCTGTCATTGGCCCACTGGTGGGAGTCTTTGTTTTCTTAAGATTGAGCCTCAATCCATATTGAAGGCTATAGTCTTTGACCTTCTGCACCAAGTGCTTCAGGTCCTCAGTTTCAGCAAGCAGGGTTGTGTCATCTGCATAACTCAGATTGTTGATGAATCTTCCTCCAGTCCTGATGCCACACTTCTCCTCATAGAGCCCAGCCTCCTGGATAATCTGTTCTGCATAAAGGTTGAAAAGGTATGGGGGTAGGACACATCCGTAATTTTACATTAGACTTGAATTTTCCTAGCTTAGTTTTGTCTTTGACAGTCTCACTAAGGGTTATGTTTTAGCTGTGTCTTTTTTACCTGGAAGCTCAAGGCTCAGATCTGTTGTTCATAGGGTTGTGATGAGTTGTAGTCGACTGAATAGTACCTGACAACAGTAATACCCTTTAAGGTAACAAGCTTTTTCTTTTCATATCTCCCATCTATAACAGTGTGTTTTTAAATATGTTCTCTAAACCCTAGAGGCCTCCTGTTCACATGGTTCTTTTTGGCATTTGCAGTAACCTTTTGCTGTTTAGACCCATCTGTAATTTGAGATTTTCCAAGTACCTTCTCCAAGTTAGCAGCAAAATTGAGAGGATGCTTGAAGGATCTTTTGAAAATCCACCTTTTAAAAGTCTGATGAAAGCTGTTCTCTTTCCACTAAAATGCTGATGTAGACAAAATACTACCAAAGGGACTGACACATCCCTGCCATGGACCCACAAAGCCTGGTCACCCTAACCCTTGTCCACCCTGGAAGTTCTGGCTCTCCTGTTGATGCCATCTGTTTTCATTAATAGAAGCATCCTGATAGCTGAAGTAGCATTTATGAAAATTTGTCATGAAATAGGGATTTTGATACATGACGTATCATCATATATTTGTCCTTCTGGGGGGTAAGATTGTATGGGGTACACTTAATACAGAACTCTGGGAGTAAAATTATAGGGGATACATATGTCCCTCTGGACTCTATATAACCTTCTAGAATCCTTGACAGATTCATGTAATTTAAACTAAAAAAATTACCAAACCCTCAAACTCATTACTGTTGAGTTGGAACTGACTCATTGCTGACTGTGTGGTGGGTCTCCAGTGGTCATAAATCGTGTGGGAGGTGATTGCCTGTGGAGCAGCTGGTAGATTTGAACTGGTGCCATGTTTGGATTAACAATACAGCTCCCTGTGTTTGTGTAAACATGGAATCATGGAAGAAAGACAACTTTCAAGAGGCACCTGGAAATGGTCAACCATTATGAAAGCCACAGAGGTTAAAGTTATGTGAAATCATACTTCCAAGAAGCATCACTTCGTACATACATCCCCTTGTCACATTGTGGACTGCTAGACCAGGTGGAGTGGTTTCCAAAAGCAACACATGGTGAATTCTACACCCTTCAGAATTGCTCAGAGCCAGGTCTGGAAGCTTGCAAGGAAGATCGTGGAAGGGCGGGCTGCCTATAGTGACATCAAAGCCCTGCAGTGCATTCATCCCAAGTCCTTCACCCTAGCCATCTCCAGTATCCACCTCCTCAACAAGAAGGCAGACTTTCCAGCGAATGTCACCATGTCCCTGAAGCATCCCATCCAGAAGCTGCTGAACCGAGACATTACTAACGATCTTTTAATTCAGGTCACTCTTTGAGAATTAAAAAAGAATTTAAAGTGTTTGAATGATTTTTAACTTTTCACTTTGCTGAACCATGCCTCTGAAGTCACAGATTCACCTTTGATAAAATTTTATAATGAAGGGAAAGAAAAAAAAACCAAAACAGCATCACTTCACATGATCCCCTGTGAACAAAGGTCTTTGCAGCACCTGTTTTATCCGTTTCTAACAGTTTGGTCATCCCCTCCTGGTGGCCCATATGCTGTCAGTGATCTCTCACCTGCCTGTTAAACACTGGAGGTGAAGTGTTGGTGGGCACTATGTCCCAGACCTAGGAAAGAGTTAAAGACCGCTGTGTGTGCTGATCGTGTTTCCTTGAACATTTCAGGACATCCCCCCAGAATGGCACTCGGAGCTGATGTTAAAGAGAGATTTTCCACTGGAGCTGTGGGCACATTACATCCAGCAGCTGAATGCAGGCCAGATGATCGATGTCGAGGACTCTGTCTTGCTTGTCTTTTCATTAAAAAATTTTATTCACGCACTGAAGGTTCCTCAGTGTTTTCCTCAGGGTAAGATGAGCTGAGCAGCTCTTGCTGTGATATCGTGGGAAGCCGGATGGGTGGGTGGCTGAGCAATCTGTGTGGATTGATGTCTCTAGCAGCATGTTGGATGATGGATTTATGCATTATCTTTCTCCTCTGTCGTTTCAGATGAAAGGTGGTGGAATCCAGAAGAGCTGAAAGAAGACAGCAGAGACTACCTGTGCTTGCTCATCAAGCTCTTTGAGATTATACTCACCGGGACCGATGCCATTCACTTCAGGGTGCTGATGAAACTCTTCATGAAGGTACTGGGCCTTCCCCTCATAGGCACACGTGTTGTGGAGCGTTTTCCTGATGACATCTCACGCTTGTAAAATGAGCGTGTGAGAGTCCTCTGTTCAGAAGGACCGTGGTCTGACAACTGTCAGGAGATTGGCAAAGACACCTTTGCTCCAGGCCTGCTGGTGTCTGAGGCCCTCAGGTTTTTCAGTAGTTATCACGGGTGCCACAGTGTGCTGGATTCCTGGGCGTTTCAGAGAGGTTGTATGTGGGATCACTCCATGAAGACGTGATCCCAGGCCCTGTGACCTCGAGGCTGCCAGACCCAGTGGCCTGTTCTTTGTTCTTGTGTCACTTGCTCTGTCAGCAGCATTGGGCACAGAAGCCTACCGTCCTGTTTCTGAAATAACGTCCTTAGTGAAGTTTCCCAGACACTACCCTTTGTTTTAGTTTTCTGCTTAATATCCTCAGCTTTTTTAATTGATTGCCTTCAAGTGCAAAATTTTAGTAAGGCCTCTAAATTGTGTTGTACCAAGTGTAGTAATGAATGTCTTCGATAAAGCAAAGCATTGCAAAAAATTGTTTACCTTCTATAATTGTACATTAGTGAAAATAGAGTTTGAGCCATTTTAGTTCTTTGTGTAAGGATTAAACTTTTCTCTTTTTCTTTCTGTTAGGTCCATCTCGATGATGTCTTTAAGTTGTTCAGTTTCCTTTCTGTTCTATGGACATACGGTTCTAGCCTTTCGAACCCACTCAACTGCAGTATCAAAACAGTGCTCCAGACTCAGGCTTTGTATATTGGCTGTGCCCTACTCTCTTCTCAAAAGGCAAAGGATAAACATCAGTTGACATCCGTGTCTTCTCCAGGTAAGTGCAGTAGCTTGTTCTGCCTTGACAACTTTTGCTGTTAAATTATAAATGGTAATCACAGATACTTACCAAGTGCAAAAATTATGTAAATGGTTAATGACTGTCCATGGAGGGGAATTAGGGTGTATTTTACATGAATTTTTAATGTCTAGTTATTAATTTTCTCAGCCTTAGCAGTTATGGAAGTCAAATGATCCTCATAGGATTTGGGCTTGTTGTAAGGCAGATTCAGGTCTGGGAACAAGACACCTTGCTGAGAAAGGTAGAGGGTCAGCGAAAGAGAAGCAGATCCCTAGGAAGATGGATTGCTCAGGGAGTGATGCAGTGAGCTCTAGCAGGGCAGAGATCTAGAGATGGTGCAGGATATGCCACACTTCACATCTGTTGTTCATAGGGTCACTCTGTGTAGCAGTCAGCTTGATGGCACTTAACAGTCAGTTGACTAGTTTAGTTATAAAATAGACCTCTTTCTTGTCTTCATTATAGGATCCTAATTATCAGGTGTCCCATTAGCACAATCAAGTGTTCTGGGATTCCCATTCTTCTCAGAGGCAGCCACAGTTTGTTGTGATCCACACAGTCAAATGCCTTTGCATAGTCAATGAAACACACATAGACATTCCTCTGGTACTCTCTGCTTTCAGCCAAGATCCATCTAACATTGGCTATAATGTCCCTGGGAGTGCCACGGCCTCTTCTAAACGCAGCCTACACATCTGGAAGTTCTCTGTCGATGTGTTGTTGCACTTGTTTTTGGGTAATCTTCAGCAAGGTTTTGCAGTAGTAGACATTTAGAAAAGATACTTTAATTTACATAGGTGTGTGCATTTGGGATATTGTAAATGATAACCAAAGTTAAGGTGTGATAACATTTGACTGAGTTAGAATGGGGCCGAGTCTGCTTTTACTTGTGTTTTTTAAAGATTTTAACCAGATGGCACATGCTTTATTTCTGTTTGGAATGAAAGCCTTTTGAAGAACAAGTTGGAATTGGGGGGGAACACTTGATTCTGTACCCTTATTGCACTGTTTCTGTTTTGAATAAAGTTACTTAACATTTCTTTTCCTTTTTGGTTTTAGTTTTTATATCCCTGCTCGTTAACCTGGGAAGCTCTGTAAAGGAAGTACGTCGAGCGGCCATTCTGTGCCTCCAGGCCCTGAGCAGAGCACAATCCCCATATCAGCTGATAATCGATCACGTGGTTCCTAAAGCAGAGGAGGTCACCTCAGATGCCACCTACGTCACTCAGGTAAAGAAAATCCTGTGGCTGTTACCTGTTGGATTGGGTCACAGAGTTTAGAAACAGACTTAAAAGATTTAATACACATTTCTCCCCGTTTTAAAAAAGTATCTATACTGTTAGGAGAGAGTGGGGTGGAGCTCCCCGATGAAAACAAGCTTGGAAGGAGGAGTGGCATCCACTTCCTTAATAGCTTGCCTCTGGAAACCCTATGAACCTGGAGAGAGGATGAAAGACACCCAAGCGTCAAGGACTCTCCTTCATAGGGTCGCTATGAGTCGCCTGTGACTCGATGGCACTTAACAACAATAACATACTGTTAGGATGGAGAAAGAGTGAAATATTATTTAAAAGGCATATTTATAAGATGTATGAGCTCTGTCTGCCTAGTGGTAAGAAGGCAAAAGCAGGCGATTGAATCCACCAGCTGCTCTGCGGGAGAAGGATGGACAGTCTCCTCCCATGTGATTTACTGCCTCTGAAAACTGCTAGAGGCTCAGCTGTGAGTCTATTCCAACTCCACAGCACACAACAACAACATGAATAAATGAAAACGAAGTAAAAAAAGGCCTAATATTTCTGTTCCAGTGCTATATTTGATAAAAGATATCCAGCCTTTGTTGGGTTTTTTTGTGTGTGTTTTTTGTTTTGTTTTTTTTTTTAGTAAGCCACAGGTAGTGTTAAGGAGAAATAAAATGTGTATAAAACAATGTAATGTCGTTGGGGGAAGAATCTGCCATCATTAAGATGTTTAACTTCTTTAGTTCCTTCATCCCTTCTCATCCACTTTTCTCTTCTGGAATCCTAGGATTTGGCTGCCCTGTTTGAGGAACTACAGAACGAGACAAAAGTGAAATCTCTTAAGAAGTTGTCAGAAACCTTGAAACAGCTGCTTACTTGTGTGTACAATTGCCCATCTTACGTTGCGAAAGATCTGATGAAGGTGCTTCAGCACGTCCACAGCGAGGTGTGTGTCACTGAACTGAATCGTACCCTCTGTATGATGTCATTTGCTAGGTGTTTTGTTATTTAAAATATTTCTGTACCTTTTTGGGGGGTAGAAAATCCATAGTTCTCATTATGTTCTCAAGGAACACTGACATCAAAGAAAGAATTAGTGACACTTGGATCACATGTGACAAATAATGACATGTGCTAGTCAGCAGAGGGGAAGAGCCGTCCCTTCAGAGCCCAGAAACACCGGTGTGGAATGGCTGCCGATGAAGGAGGCTTTCACGAAGGGGAGCCCAGTAGAGGCCATCCGATTCTGCTTACATGCTTAATCAGCTCAGTTTTGTCCACAGTTCAGACTATTGTGTTGTTGTGTCTTGTCTAGCTGGAACTGACCCTCCAGCAGGTTTTCAGAAGCTGTGAATCACAAGGGAGGAAATTGGCCATCTTTCTCCCACAGAGCAGCCTGCGGATTCGAACCACATTTCTTTGGGTTGGCAGCACAGCTCCTTATCCCTAGCCACCGCAGCTCCCTATGGTTCAGCATACTATTACTGTAATGTGCTGGGGATGTGGGAGGAGGAGACAGAGAAGACATGGTGACTTGCTTGTACTGATTACAGCCTCAGAAGCCCCACTGGGCAGTTCTGTCTGCTTGGTCACCTTGAGTTCATCAGCGTCACATATTAGTAATCACACATCAGCCATGTGACTGTTACAGCTACTCAGCTCTTCTACAGTAGTTTCAAAGCAGCTGTACACAATGTATAAATGAGTGCTTGTGGCAGTGTTTCAATAAAACTTTATTTACAAACACAAGCCATTTTCTGGCACTCAGTTTTGTTTTAAAACTATATATTCATGTCTTGAATTAAAATTCTCATTGATGTCAAGTTGGAACCAACTCAAAGCTGACCTTCCAGAGAGACTTCAGAGGCTGTAAATCGTGATTGCCCAAACATGAATTAATATTAACTAGAATAAATTGGGGACTCCATGATATCTTAGGCAATGAAGAATTTATTCTTTAAAGATTTGACTTCTATTTCCTATTCTCAAAATGTCTTGAGGAACACTCACATGATGCTTTCCCTGCTCTCTGAAGGGTTAGACCCTGTGAGCATTACACATAAAACAAGCAGAGAAGGCCTGAATGTCTGAACAGGAATTAAGAGGCAGTCACCCTGAGGGGTATCTCCCTCTTCCCGGCTGCCTTTCACCCCTGCAGCATAGTATCCTCAGAAGGTCTATAAAGCAAACAAACCCCTTGTCAGTAGTGGTAACGTTTTAACCATTTGCTAATAAATTATTCAAATCTTAGGTGGCACTTTCTCTCCTGTTGCCGCTGCTTCAAAACCTACTAGAAAAAGTCCAGAAGGAGCCCACAGCAGTACTGCGAGAGGAGGCCATGGTCCTCCATCTCACCCTGGGAAAATACAGCGAACAGTCTGCTCCGCTTTTACATAAGGACCCGGCTAGCCTGGATCTGTTCATGAAAGCTGTGCACACAGCAGAGGCACTTGGCCCCGGGATGCCAACCGTGCAGATTGCAGCTCTTGAAAAGGTCAGAGAGGGGGGCATTTCCAGTCATGTCATCATCTTCTGCTGGTGAAGAGAAAGTATTAGTGGGCGGAATGTATTTTTAAGAAACATGGTATATTTGACTCATTTTAAAAACTTGTACATGAACTAATAATTGAAAAGAATCAACATTGACAAAAGTAAACATAGCAATTTTAGATGGTGAGGAGAAATTTGATAAGGATTGGTTTTGGAGTTCAGATTTGCTTGTTGCATTCAGTGGTCTTTTTCACACCTTTAGATTACAAAGCCATTTTTTGCTGCTATATCAGATGGGAAAGTTCAGCAGAAGCTCTTGGGAATGATGTTCGACTTGTTGGTGAACTGTAAGGATATACACTGTGCGCAGACTGTCAGCAGTGTCTTCAAAGGGGTAAGTCACTAGCCTTCCATAACTTGTTCACTAGCTTCAAGGTGGTTCTATATAGTGCGTGTTCTTAAATCTCCTCCAGGTTATAACACTTTTTTAAAACTGATCTGTTAACATTCACAGGAATCACGGAAAAGTTGATCATAGAAAGATGTACAATCAAAAGTCTTCATTTTATGACTTGAAATATTCAGTAACTTTAATTAGGTAGAAGGTGTTTACGCATTTGTGTGTGTGTGTGTCTGGATTGAGCTCATGATGTGGGAGCTGCCTGTTTCATGTAAACGTTGGAAAGAGTAGATAGCACATTATCACAACAGCATAATTTAAATGCTTGTTTATTGACAAACATGGTAGAATTGAGATTGCTTTTATCTACATATTGAATGTTATTTATCTGTCAGAGTAGGCACTTAGGGAAGTGTTTGAGGAAAGTTTTCTAGGAAAACACATTCACAAAAATAGAAAATAGTGTGGAGAAGGCGGAGTATTCAGCTTTCACAGTTCTCAGTGTTAGCATGTTTATTTAATCTACCCCTTTTTTCTTTTTATCAGTGTTGAAGATACTTTTAAAGTAAACTACAAAAAATAAATAGGTGGAGACATTGCTGTTACTGTGTTTCTTTTTTTTTATTTACTTTGTCCCCCCATTGTGTTTCTTTTAATCACTGTCTATTGCTCTCTGTCCTGGCTTTTTCATCGCAGATTTCAGTTAACGCAGAACAAATCAGGACTGAGCTGGAGCCACCAGATAAAGTTAAATCCCTAGGCACCATTCAGCAAACCAGGCGGCAGAGAATGCAGCAGAAGTAAGGCCCCACCTGGTGCAGTATGAGTCTGGGTCGCCCCTGGGGCCAGGGCTGGGGCTGGGGCTCTAGTGGGGCTGGGAGGCTGCCTTCACTTTCTCATGTCCGGCACTTTGGCCTGATAAAAGAGCAGTGGTTTTGATTTAACTTACAGTGTTTGCTTTTCCAACTTTTTCTAGAAAACCACAGGACCCAGAATCAGCTCAGGAGGCGGGAGACTTCTCCTGGCAGAGGGTGACGCTAATCCTGGAACTGCTGCAGCACAAGAAGAAGCTCAAAGGCCCTGAGAGACTGATCCCAACTCTCTTCAACCTGCTTTCAAGGTAGACACCCCTGGCTTCTGTTGGTGAGAGAAAGGGATGTCCATTCCTTACCTCATTCAACATCCTCTTTCCATCATACTTGCTATTTGTCTGTTCCTTATACATTGGAGTTGTTTAAGAATTGTGATTCAAAGAACAGTTTTGGGGGCTAACTGCGAGTGTCCCATGCTGGTCTGTATTCTTTATTGGCTAAGAGGTGACCTTCTCTCCTTTTCTGCTTGAATTAGAGTATCATGACCCAGAGAAGACTGTATCCCCTCTTGGGGGCATTGTAACTTGTGATACCTGCTGTGTAGCTCTAGACTGTGCCACTGGCTTGTGACTGTGTGCTTCTAAAACAAAGGGCTTCTTGGTGTCTTTGTGCTAAAGTTTCCATGTAGGCTGATAGAAAGTATAATAGAGAGGTCATTGAGCTCGCCTGTGTGGCAAGTACTCTGGCCGCTGTAGAGCATTGTTACTAGCACTGTAGTTACTCCTTCCTTGAGTGGAATTGTGAACAGTGGTCAGGATGGGGCACTGAAATTGTATCCTAACTTTTTCACTTTGTCTTCTCTCTTTTCTGTGGTGTCTGAAGGTGTTTAGAGCCGATGCCATTGGAACAGGGAAGTAATATGGAATACACCAAGCAATTAATTCTTAGTTGTCTGCTTAACATCTGCCAGAAGCTCTCTCCAGATGGTGGCAAAATACCAAAAGGTAGATCTTTGGATGGAAGGATGAAACAATCTACCTTGAGTATCCTGTGTGTGTACCTGCCACTTACACCTTGGGTTTTTTCCCCCCTCACCTCTGTAGATGTTCTTGATGAAGAAAAATTCAATGTGGAATTGATAGTCCAGTGTATCCGCCTTTCTGAGATGCCCCAGACCCACCACCATGCCCTCTTACTCCTGGGGACCGTTGCTGGTATATTTCCTGTAAGTGTTAATGAGTTGATACTCAAGCAGAAATTTCAGACATTTTCTTTCTTGGAATCAGAGACACCTACTGGTATAAATTCCGTGAATGATAAACCTACAGTACTGGGTAAAAATAACAACCCTGTGTCTTGATGGTGGGACATAGGAGCTCGTTGATCTTGCCAAACTTGGTTTCCATCCTATAAAGTGGGAATAGTAGAAATGTCGTGATAAGATTGTGGTGAGGATTGGCTTGGCCAGCAGGGTTAGCACTCAGTGCTGTGCTGGTATCACCTAATCGTCTACTAGTAGGTTGTAGCAGGTATTAAAATATTTTAGGGGGGAATATCATACCCCACTAATCCTCATTCTGAAAGATTGGACACCTTTCGGTAACTGATGCTTCTAAATAGCAGTAACTTAAAGCTCTTTGATTTTAAACTACTTCATGTAAACAAATCATGTCACTTCTAAAAAAGATTTAAGATTTTTTAAAATAGATTTAAACTATTTTCATATCGGAGATTTAGAACATGGGTTCATTGTGTGCTCTAGAGAGCATTTGAGCAAAAGTTCAATATTATGTTTATGAATTTTTTTTCTCACTTGGAAGAAGTTCATAGTTCTCAAAGCAGTTGCTCATCAGAAACAGTTAAAGATCACAGATACTTTGCCGTTTTCAAATTGAAATCGAATTCATACACTATAAAATTCATCCTTTTAAAGTGCCTTTGATAGCTTTAAAAAGTCCATCCTCATTCCACACTACGTGGCATGCTTCCTGCCCACATGAATTGATTGTGCACATTTCCCAGAAGCGGAATCATACAGTGTGTGATGAAAAGCTATTTGTACTTAGCTTTTTTACTTGATGTGTTTTTAAGATTTAGCCAAATTGTAGCCTGAATCATACCTTGTTTTCTCATGGACTGGATGCTTCGAGCTACAGGGTTTAGAATGGAAGTTAACAGGTTGTAATTCAGGTGGGCAACAGGAAACACTCTCTCAGTCTGGGCAGCTTTTGAAGCTTGCAGTCCCTTCAGCCTCCAGCCTTGTGGCTTTAAGCCAGTGTTACAGATCTCTCTGAGTCCTGCCAGTGATGCCTTCCCTCCCTCCAGTCCTTTAGCAAGCTTCGGTAAATCCTGGGATGTCGTTCTATGGGGCAGCAGTCCCAACGTCAGTCCTGTCTAGCATCTGGTCTCTGGCTCTCAACTGTGGCTTCTGCTCCTGAAGGCCCCAACCTCAGTGGCCCTGAAGGATGCGTGCGTTCTCTGTTGCCTGTTTCTTGCTGGTGGTGAGATTCCTCATTTCTGCTGTTGAGCCTGTTTAGATTCCATCTGGCACAGTGACCAAACTGACCAATCCCCTGGTAGATAGACTCACACCCTGTTCACTCAACCATGTGGTGAAAGCCAGAGTCAGTGGCCCGAGAAGGCCAGTTTGAGCAGTAGAACTGCTACACCACAGGTTTCAGCTAGGAGGGGAATTCCTGGGGCCTTGGCTAACTTTATATCTAACTTTTCAAGAAACTGTCCTACTCTTTCCCAGAATGGTTGCACCATTTTACATTCTGACCAGTAATGGATGAATGTTCACATTTTTGCACAGCCCACCACACTTAACAGTTTTGCATCTTTTGGATAATAACCATCCCTGTGGGTGTGAACAAATCTTTGATTTATTTCCTTAGTAATCAGTGGCTTTGAGCATATTTTCATGTGTTTATTTGCCATTTATTTATCTTTAGAAAAGACATTTTAAAGTTCTGTATCACTTTTTTTTTCTTCCATTTTCCTTTTTATTGTTATAATGAATCATTACTACTTGGCAAGTTTTAAGTGAAAATATGAATTGGTGTATTTTTGTTTCCCTTCAGGATAAAGTTCTGCACAACATCATGTCTATCTTTACATTTATGGGAGCCAATGTCATGCGCCTGGATGACGCTTACAGTTTTCAGGTTATTAACAAGACAGTGAAAATGGTGATTCCTGCTCTTATTCAGGTAAGCTGTGCTTATCACTTTACTGGCATGTTTTTTGTTTTTAGGAAAGCAAATAAGCAGTATTAAAAGTCAGTAGGGCAGTCTCAGGTACTTGTACTGCCTAAATTTTAGAATCATTACCTTAGGAAGCAGTAATGAAAATAATGTTTCCCAGGAATACAAGTAAACACAGACAGCTGGTTCTCCTGTGCTTTAAGACATGTGCAAGTTTCTTATAATCCTGACAGTGAATTTACTTTTGTTGTATATTTCAGAACATTGCATCAATTTCATGGTAATGTTCTTTTGTGGCATTTTTGTAGTGTTCAGGACCGTTTCAGAGTCCTAACAGCAAATTCAGAAGTAGTTTCTTCCTCAGCTAGATTGGCACTCACCGAGTTTTTTGTTTCTAACTTATGTGGTTAATCTTCTCTGACACGGTCAGCTGTTACTGGGATACCATGTACAGCATGTAATTATCGTGGACCTTCTCCTTTAAATCTAGGTTCTAGGAATCTGCATCTAGTAGTGGTTAGTACAGGACATATGCATAAAAAGGAAAAAAGTCTGATTTTGTTTGGCAAGTGCCAGTGGCCTAAGTATGTGTGGCGGCAACTTAGATAGCAGTGTGGGTAATTCTTGACCAGAAGCAGAAGGATGGCGTTTGCCCAGTGAGGCAGCCAAGCACAGGCTGAGAAGAGGCTCTGGCTGGGAATGGGCACCGTGTGCACAGTGTGACGTCCTTGATTTTCAGAGCAGAGTGGAGGTGGGCGTGGGAAATGCAGGTACTTGTATTTGTGTTTAACAATTTAAAACCAACATCAGAGTAAATTTTTTCACTTTCTTCTGTAAGTACCGGGGCCACTGGCCTGGGCTGCTGTCTGCTCTCACTTTTGTGCCTGTTCTCGCCAGGGCCCATGAGACCTGGTGGATCTGGGTGACCCTCACAGACTGTCAGGGCCACAAGTCCAGCTTGGCCGTGCCTGCTGCCCACTGCCTGTTGCGTCTCTCCACCTGTCTACCTTACTTTTTACATACCAGAAACCTTCTGTAGGGCAGGGCTCACAGCTTATAATTCTTTTTTCCTTAAGGATCTAATGGTACTGCAACAGAATGGGTCCTCATTGACCCATATTGCTGGGTCTTTGCTTGTTTCAGTTCCTGTGATAACGTGTTTGTTGCTTCTTAAAATTCTAGTGCAGGTGCTCTGCACCTCGTTTTGTGGCGGCCCCTGTCCTCACTTGCTCTTCCTTGCTGTTTGTAGTCCGACAGTGGCACGTCTCAGGAGGTGACACGGAACATCGAGGAGATCGTGGTGAAGGTCGTGGGCGTTTTTGTGGACGCCCTGCCCCATGTCCCTGAGCACCGGCGCCTGCCCATCCTCGTACAGCTCGTTGACACCCTGGGTGCGGAGAAGTTCCTCTGGGTCCTGCTCCTGCTGCTCTTTGAGCAGTACGTCACCAAGACAGTGCTGACGGCCAGCTGTGGGGAGAAGGTCAGTGTGAGGGGCGGGCAGGGACGGGATGCATCTGTGTCACACTGGGAGCTTCACACCAGGAGTGTCACATCATAGCACCAGGGGCGTCACATCGGGAGTGTCACCACCACACTGGGATTGTCACATCACACCAGGAGTGTCACCCTGTCATACTGGGAATGTCCCACTGTCGCACGCGGAGCGTCTCACCAGTCTGTGATCTTCTCCACATGGCACATGGAGCTGGGGATGCCACATGTACATTTGTAACCACTGCTCATAGCCCTATCTGGCTTGTTTTGTTATTTTGGGTTTCTTTAAGCATTCTTGAAATTACCTTCAGGGTCCCCAACACTGAATAGTCTGAATGTCTTCTGTGGGTGACCTGACATTGAAGCAGCTGGTCTGCTGCTGTGTTGGGCGATTCCATGTTCAGGCCCAGCAGGATGGGACTGTGATGCAATCTATGGGGTCTCTTGAGGGTGATTGTGAAGACACTGTTTTGGTAAATGTGGTGTCGGCATCACTGACATCAGCTGACGCAGGAAGCTACACATGGTGAGGGCTGTGTGTAGATGAGCCCTGGTCCCACTGTGGGGTCGTGGTAGGTATTTGGGGTGGAGGCAGCTCTCCTCATAGTAGCCCCAGCACAATAGCTCCATCCTGTCACACTCACAGTCTGTGCCCTTCACACGCCTGGCTGCAGCCATCGTGTCTGTCCATTTCATTGAGGATCGCCCTCTTTGATGATCCTCCCTTGACCTAGCATGATGTCTTTCGCTGGGGACTGGCCCCTCTGATAACAGGTCCAAAGAAGACCCAGCCCAGGAAGCCAGGTGATGTAGAACCCAGGGAGTCGTGCTGCTGACCCAAACGAGCCCCTTTTGGTTCAGAATAATCTGGAAATAGATGGGCAGTGTGCACTTGTGTGATCCACAGCCTCCCAAAAAAACACCCTGGAGGGTCAGCGAAGGGGTCGAGTTTAACTAGACAGCACTGCGGTTTTGAGGACCTCTCCCCCTGCTGTCCGGTCGATTCTGGCTCGTGGTGAGACGCTGTTGGGTCTCTGTGGCTGTGAATTTGCAGGGGGAGACCACCATTCTTTCTCCTAAAGAGAAGCTGGTGGAGTCTAACTGCCGACCTTTTGGTCAGCAGCCCACCATGTACCACATGATGCCACCCAGGCTCCTCAGAGTAGATCTGTTTACACCAACTCAGTAAATCCCTGATGAGTTCGTTGCCCTCAGGTCAGAACTCACCAACCCAGCTGACCCTCTGGCCGGCTTTCAGAGACTGTCAATTATGTGGGAAGAGAATGCCCAACTTTCTCCCTTGGAGCAGCTAGTGGAATCAAACCTCCTGCCTTTGGGGTGGCAGCACAGCTCCTTAGCCACTGAACCACCAGAGCGCCCTAAAGTAAACTAGTATACTAACGTTTTCAGTATACTAAATAGCACAGCCATGTAAATAATACACACACAATGCACATAGTGCAAGAGTTGCAAAGAAAAAGAAAATGGAGTACACTGTGTTACCTGTGCAAAAAAATCACTATTCCATCCAGTTAGTAATTACAGTGCAAATATATAAGGATGCTACCCTCATAATCCTCATAAAATGCCTCTTGTGTAAAGAGCACCATGTCAGTTACTCACCTGGTGAAGCTTGTGACCCTAAGGGACCCTGTGCTGTGGCTTTCCATGGACGGAATGTCTTGAGATATTTGGACTCACTCAGCAGCCTCTCAGGTGGCTGCTGTAATACTGCCCTTTCTCTTCTCTCCACACAGGATGCAGTTTTGGAGGCAGACACTGAGTTCTGGATTTCTGTCTGTTGTGAATTCAACGTCCAGCATCAAGTCCAGAGTTTGATGACCATCCTCCAGTATCTAACCGAGCTGCCAGAGGAGAAGGAAGGTTAGCAGTCCTTACTCGGCACAATCACACATGAACCCAAGTTGTGGTAGACTTTTAAACAAATAAATCCATAGTGGTTTATTTGTGGAGGGTTTGTAGTGGCTCAGATGTTAACAATTTGAGTTAGCTCACGGTTAATTAATTAACACTGAGTCTGCTCCAGTTCATCACAACCACGTACAACAGAATTAAGTCCACAAGTATTACTGTGTCTGATCTCCAGCTTCTGTGGGAGTCTCCTCATGGAGAGTCTTCCTCTGTTTAACTGACCGTTTGCTTTATTAAAAATTACGTTCTTCTCCAGGGACTGGTCCCTCCAGATAACATGTCCAAAGTATGTGAGGCCAAGTCTTACTGTCCTGATTCCCACAGGCATCTTGATTATTCTTCTTCCAACGCAGATTTGTTTGTTCTGTTTGACATCCTTATTCTTTGCCAGCTCAACAGCTCTTAGATCAATAAGTGCATCGACTGTTTAGTCTTTCTTCTCCCAGCTTTCACAGCATATAAAGTGACTGAAAATACCGTGCCTTGACTCAGGCACACTGTAGTCCTAAAAGGAGTATCTGTGGGATTTTTAGCACTTTTGCAGCGGATTTGACTTCATTTGAGTTCTTGACTGCTACTACTTGTGACTGTTTTTAAATTCAATTTTTTTTTCTCTTTACATGTAAATGTCTTCATGGGGATTTTAATATGAAGTTGTTGTTGATGATTGCCTTTCACTCAAGCACAACTTATAGCAACCCTGTGAACAAAAACTCCGAAACCTTTCTATAACTATCAGCATTAATCAGAGTTCATAGCGTTTCTGGAGGCATGTTGTTTAGGAAGTGAATGCCCCTCCTGCTTCCAAATATGAAGCAAGGGACATTTAATAAAGACATTAAGTTTGCCAGAAGTTCTTACTAAAATACTTGTGAAGACATTTACACAAAAAGCAGTGGGCAGAAGTACCACAGTGAGCTATCCCGTCACCAAGTCACTTCTGACTTAGAATGGGAATATAGGACAAGCCAGAACTGCCCCATAGGGTTGCCTGGCCTCAGTCTCTAGGAAACAGAGTGGCACATCTTTGTCCACAGAGGCAGCTGGTGGGTTTGAACCACTGACCTTTCCGTTCTTTCTTGACACTTAAACACTGTGCAGTGGTGACTGCAATGTAAAGATTGGCTGTCTCGAGTCCTGATTGTAAGCTGCCCTGATACTATGAGGAAAGGGCCGGTCTGTGCTCTCCACCTTTGAAGGGAAGCATCTGAGTGTGTTAGGTATGGAGTCGTGAAGAGGCGGGGTTTCAGGGCAGCACAGAATGGTTCTCTCTGCCCCGTCAGTCCTGTTTGACAAGCTTGTCTCAGGCTGCAGTCTGCAGTGGGATGAGGCTGGAAAGGTGTGTGGTCACCAGAATGGGAAAAGGATCTTTGTGTGGAATCATCCCTGAGATGGTTGTGCTTGGCGGCTGGCCTTGGCCTCCCTCCCAGTTGTTGCTCCTACACCCTTCTGCGTCCAGTGCATCTTACATCTGTCTGCAGGCTGATGTCCTAGGACCTTTAGAGATAGAGCCCTCCTCACGGCCCAGCGCCCAGGAGATGTCTGAGCGTCCCTGATGATGGTGGTCCCTGTGGTCCCTCCCTGTCCTCGCTTGCTTGTCCCACGTGCCTTGGTTGTAATCATCTGTCTTCACCATTTTCTATCCTAATAATTAGTCAGAAGCAATTCCACTATTAATTTAGAGGGAAAGTTGTGTGATAAAATCACTCATTTCCTTCTGAAAATGGTGTCCCTTTAAGCTGCTGCACTTGAAAGCACATTTCATATGTATCTGTGCTGAGGATTCTGGGTGAGAGGACTTAGTTTCTTGCTATCTTTCAGATCACACTCCTCCCAAACCAGGATGCACTAAGAGCAAGCCCCATGGAGAAATGCTGCAGGTTTTCAATGTGGATGCTCACACGAGCAAGCAGCTGCGGCATTTTAAGTTCTTGTCAGTCTCCTTCATGTCACAGCTCCTGGCTTCCAATCACTTTATCAAAAAGGTACTGTTTGCATAAACATGTGTATCCTAAAACTATTTTATTTTTATAAAGTAACTGTGTTTTAAATAAGTAAAAATGCTTGATAAATGTCTTAGGGAGACTTAAACAGGAAAATCAACACTTAGAAGTTCTATGGGAAAATACAGAGCTCTATTGGCCTAGTGCTAAGGAGCTATGCTGTCAACCCAAAGGCATGCTGTTCAAATCCATGAGCAGTGCATGGGGAAAAAGATGAATAGTCTATGCTCATGCGATGTACAGCCTCTGAAAACCTACTGGAAGGTCAGCTATGAGTCAGTTCCAAGTCGACGGCAATGAGTTGAGACTGAATTGTTTGAAAGGGAAACGCCATTATGAGCAGAGAGGGGTATAAAATTTCTTAAAAATGTAAAAGCAGAGAAGATACATATTGTGTATATAACCAGAATACTTTGGTTTTCATTAGAACTGGCAAAGATGGAATTCAGTGAAAGGGAGTCAAAAGTTGTTGATTAATACATGACAAAAGTTCCACCTTCCTGGCGATTGGGAAGGGTGCTCTGATGGCACTGTTAAGGCATTTGGCTGCTAACCAAAAGGTCAGTGGTTAAGCCCAGCCACTCCACAGGGAAGGATGCAGCTGTCCACTTCCATGCAGGATTAACGACCTTGGGATCCGATCCCTGTGGGGCAGGTCTCTGCTGTCCGCTGGCTCACCGAGCCAGAATCTGCTCAGTGCTGCTGAGGCTTTTTGGGATGTTGCTATTGTTGTTGTTTAGGAACCAGGGAAATGGATGAGACAACACCATGATGTCTTTATTAATTGGCATAAACCTCAGTGTCGTTAACAGCAGGAAGTGGCAAGCGTCTGTGACGTGGTCACTCTTGTGCCCAGTGCCCGGTGTGTGAACTGATTGGGGCAGGCTTTTTGGAAATGTACTTGGCAGTGTCTCTTCGGGATGGCCTTGCTCCAGTCCTTGTTCTGTCCCTGCTCCCCTATTTCTGGATTAGATCAGAAACTACCTGGATGCTTAAGGAGACACATAGAAGGGGTTTGCTTTTTAGAGTTTTGTTTTTTTTCTTTGGTCTTGTTAATAAAAATGGAGATTAACCTTTATGAATACATCAGAGGTCACTGGATGAATGTATTGTGTTGGATACCAGACAATGGTGTCTTCAGATAAAATGGATGAGCAACATACATCTCATGGATCAATCTCAGAAGGAGAATATTACCAGACAAAATGTGCTACCAAATGATGCGTAAAGCATTTTAACAGCAGGTTCAGGAAGACAGTGCTCACTGTGGAGTGGGGTCATCAGAGAATGGACTGGAATCAGGACGCGGAGCATTGAGACCATATACTGAGCCTGAGAAGGGTGATCCAGTTACTTAACTCGGGTGTAACCCATTGCCATCAAGTCAGAACTGACTCATAGCCGACCCTCCAGCGGTTTCTGAGACTGAAGAGGGAGTGGGTGGGAATCACCCTTACTTCCCCTGCAGAGCTGCTGGTGGGTCCAGGTTGCCCAAGAGACACAGCCTGTGGGTCAGCAGCCCAGCTCACTGGGGACTGTGGATGTCACCAGGACTCCTGTTCCAAATGGAAGGTTGTTAGTGACGTGACAGAGCTACTACACAATTGTGTGGATGCTTGGGATTTAATCTGTGTGATTAACTGCCAGTAAAAAGTTGCTATGAGAATTGAAGCGTGTAATGTTCGATGAATTTCAGTGCAACAGTTCCCTTGACTGGTATTTCCATATTCTCTTCCCACTTTCCACACTGTTCTAATAATTTCTTTTTACAAACAGGTGGTTGAAAGTGGTGGCGCTCAGGTTCTGAAAGGCTTTGAACAAAGGTATGTAGGAGTGGGTTTTTTAACATCTTGCTTGGAAATCCTTTCAGACTTAAAGAAACACTGTAAGAGTAGTAGTCAGAATTCCCTTTGCCCAGAGTCGGCACAATTGAGACATGCAAGGGCCCTCAGCTCTAAGAGTCTACATATGAGGCCCCTCCTCCTGTTACTCACATATTCCAGAGGATATCCCATAAATGTGAGCTTTCTACCTTTGTGTGTGCCACAGTTAACCACTGTCTCCTCGTTTTGAATGTGTCTCTGTTAGTGATTGTTTGCAAATACAGCATATGTGCTTTTAATGGATTGAGACGAACTGGATTATAAAATCATATTTTGGATTCAGGGTACCAAGATTTTTACTATAGACCATATTTTCTATGAAAAGAATATGTTATGGCCTTTATAACAAAATAAGCTTGCAAGTTTAGCTGTTTAACAGTCAATTTAAAATTCTGCCAGTCTCTTATACTGAAATTGACTTTTATTAATTTTGTTTTAAATAACTCCTACTTTGATTTTCATAACAAATGAGAGGATAACATAAAGAAAATTCACCAACATGACTTTCATAAGCTTGTAAATACAATAAATTGTTCCACAGATTTACCACGTGTTGGAGGTAAGTAATACTGTTTAGCTGATGTGTATGAGAACCATCAGGAATGGAATACAGGCGAACTGAAAAAGCCCAGCTGTACATACGTCACTAAAAATTGTTGGTCAGAATGTCATCACACGTGTTATAGACATACATGCCCACACGTACACACGCACGCGCGCACACACACATACACAAAATTATGTGCATGATCAATAGCCCTTTCCTGTGCTATCATGTTTTAGGGTGATATCTGCTAAAAATAGATCAAACTAAGCAAGATTAAGTAAAACCAAAAGAGATCAAAAAGTTCATTTCAACCTTGGAAAGATGGTCCATTTTCAGGGCTCTTATGGCTGCCGCAGCACATTAATGAATTAGTTTCCAGTTCATAAGTCCATGACAACATGTTGTTAGGTGTTGAGTACATCCCACAGTGAACCTATAAACAACAGGCGTGAGCCTGTCTTCCTGTGCCATCCTCACGTTCTCTGACACTTTCGAGCCCGCTGCTGATCCCTGCAACTGCTGTTCACAAAGCAAATCTGCTTGGTTTTAGGTTGCTGGAAACCGTGCTGGGCTACATCAATGCTGTGGCCCAGTCCATGGAGAAAAACGCAGATAAGCTGACCGTGAAGTTTTGGAGGGCTCTCCTGAGCAAAGCTTATGACATGTTAGACAAGGTAGGTGTCCTGCTTCGCTCTTTAATTCTTGTTTCTTTGCTGATTTTTATGTCACTGTGAATTGCTTAGCCATAGGTTTTAAAAATAAAGTTAGTAGTCATTTATAAGGAAGTTCAGCTTAGCTTGATGAGTAGAAGTAACCTTGTCTGGGGAAAAAAAGTGTCCCTAATTAGAAGAACATATGCCTCAATAAATGTGTTCTAAACTAATACACTCCGTGGTACTCCACTTAACATAGAATATTATGTGGCATATTCCATGGCTTCGACCTTGAGAACAGTAGTTAAATCATGGTGAGTTGAGTGGTTGGATGGCCTTAGCAGTCTCTTACGTCACTTTATTCCTAACAAATTGTGAAGGTAGTGATGTGCCTGAAGGGATACAGTGAGCGTCAGAGAGGGAGGGAGGGTGTGAGAACAACGCCGGGGCCTGGGAGGGGTGAGCTGAAGAGAAGTCGGCTCTCATTCCAGTTGAAGGTCGTCTTTTTCATTATGAATCTGCCCTACAGGTCAATGCCTTGCTGCCCACAGAAACATTCATCCCTGTCATCCAGGGCCTGGTGGGCAACCCTCTGGCCTCCGTGCGTCGGAAAGCGCTGGATCTGCTGAACAACAAGCTGCAGCAGAACGCGGGGTGGAACAAGACGACGGTAAGTGAATGCCGCACACCAGCATCTCTGTTGGCGCACTGTGTGAGGCTGCTTCCTGGCCTTCCGCCCATGCAGCATCTGAAAGTTGAGGTGCAGCCATCTGAAGAGGGAGTCGTAGTGGCCTAGTGGTAAGAAGCTGAGCTGCAATCTCAAAGGCAAGCGGTTTGAATCCACCAGCTACTGTGCAGGAGAAAAATGGACCTTCTCCCCTGCGATTTACAGCCTCTGAAAACCTGCTGGAGGTCAGCTACCAGTCAGTTCAGACTTGATGGCACTCAGCATCTAAAAATGATCCTTAACAGCGGTTCTATGCTATAGTCGTCCTTTTCTGACCGACTTTGTTCAGGATCCTGTCCACTGGATGCAGTGTTTTGTGAATAGTTCTTCTGTGGTGTTGCACAGACTCCACTGTGTGCATGTGCCTTGGGGTCCTTGTTTAGTCATCCTTTAATGGACACTGAGTTGTTTCCAGCTCTTGGCTGTTGTGAATAATGCTTCCGTGAATAGGTGTGTGCTTGTATTTGTTTCTTTGACCGCTACTAAAAGTTCTTTGAATGGAATTTCAGCTTAGTGGAATTCTTAAATTACTTCAGACCGCCATTCATTGCCTTAACTTTAGCATAACCTTAACCCTCTTTTACAGAATGTTTCTATAAAGTGAATGTTCCTCAGCGCGTACATGTATTCAGCTAGAGTAACTGAAGCAGATAGAGAGCACCTGTGGGTGCCTTGTGGGCTCTGGAGCTGACCCTCTGCTGGCAGGGTCTCGGCCGGAGAAGGTAGAGAATTAAGTAGTGTTTGAATGGCTTTAATGATCTGGGCTTTTGACGGTCCTCTTCAGGTACGCCAGTTCCTACAACTCATTCCAGTCCTTTTGGGCATCGTGCAGCATAAAAAGAAAAAGGTGGAAGAACAAGCGATAAACAGGCAGGCAGCTCTGTACACCCTAAAGCTTTTGTGTAAGAACTTTGGTGCCGAAAACCCAGATCCATTTATCCCCGTGCTGAGCAGTGCCGTGAAACTGATCGCTCCACAATCTAAGGAGGAGAAGAACGTCCTGGGCAGTGCCCTGCTGTGCATCGCAGAGGTGACCACCACCCTGGAAGCGCTGGCCATTTCCCAGCTGCCCAGGTACTCGGCCGGGGGCGGGACGCGGGAGTGTAGGGTGGCCTGGGGCTGTCGTGCACGTACCAGAGTCATCACTCAGTGATTGTGTTTACCTCCGAGAAGAAACTGCGCTGGTGGGGTAGTGTGTGATGCATCAGGCTCCTCCCTGGAAGGTTGGTAGTTCAGATCCTCCAGCTGTTTCCTCCTGTAAAGCTTTACAGCCTCAGAAACCCAGCGGAGGGTCGGTAGGAGCCAGAACCTGCTTAGCAGCAGTGTTGGGGTTTTAAATTTATTTAATGATTACTTCTGAGTAGAGTTGATACCATTAAATTCATTATTAAAGAATTAATCTTTTTTCCAACTGAAAAAGAACATTCTTATGTATCTTCTGGTGGTTTTTGCACCCACTGATTGCTGTAATTGGGAAGCAGGAAGTACCGTTCTTTAGTGAGGGGCTGATCCCCCTAGACAGTGCCAGAGCTTCAGAAGTCAGGGGACCGTGGCTCAGCCTTGCCTCTGATGTCTCACTAACTGCAGCTTTGGGCTAGGCTGGCTTTGCCACCCGCCAGGGGTCTGACCTCTGCCTTGTGGGGTGGTGGTAGGACAGTGAATGTCAAGCGCTTGACACGGACCACGCGTCCATGACTTGATGGACCTTGTTATTATCTTGAACATCACTAATGTGCGGACTGTAGAAATATCACATAGGGTCCTCGTGAATTGAGAGTTTGCTAGAAGGCAGCTAACAGAGGTGTAGCAGAGCTTTGTAAACTATGAGGCGCACTGTGTGATGGCAGTTTGTTTGTTTGGAGTTTTCACAACGAACTCCTCTCCACCCTGCAGTCTCTGCTCCATCTGTCCTGCAGTCTTCTCTGCTCCGTCCGCCCTAACGCTCCGCTCTGTCTTTCCAGCCTGATGCCATCCCTGCTGGCGACGCTCAAGGGCATCTGCGAGGCCTCGGGTGACGTCTACCTGCTCAGTGCCTTGGCAGCACTGCAGAAGGTTGTGGAGACCCTCCCTCACTTCATCAGCCCCTACCTCGAGGGAGTCCTGTTGCAGGTGGGCCCTGAGAACCACAGTGTCTGGCTTGAGGGGGTGTGGGAGAGGGAAAATGGCCAGCAGCACATTCTCACGGGAGACTCTTAGTTCTGAGATGTTCACCTTTTATAAAACATGTGGTACTGGCTTCTCCCATTGTCCCCAGTGTTCACTCATGACATTCATGCGGAGGCCATTGACACTGAGAATCTCTTCCAAGACTGCAGGGCATATGGGATCGCATTTCTCCCACTGAGACCTTTGACATTGAGTGGGTAGAGTGCTTCCATGGAAACACGTGTTCACTCAGTCTTTGTGATGTCAGAGTTTTGAGCCCTAAGGTGTGTCTCACCAGGATTCCTGTCCTGTGACGCATGGTTGCCACGCACGGAGGCCGCCTTGCTCTCTTGTCTTCACACGACCATTGTCACTGTCACTTGCTGTCTGTAGTTTGGGGACTTTGAACTGCCTTGTACGGACCCTTGTCACAGTCCTGGGCCTTAGCTCTTCTGGAAGGGTCTGGAAGCCCTGGCCGTGACCCAGCTGTCCACAATCCTGTAGGTGATCCATCTGGAGAAGGTCACCAGTGGGATGGGGGTCACGTCGCAGGCCCACGTCCGCCTCTCCTCTCTGAAGAAGACACTGGCGACTACCCTGTCACCTCGCGTCTTACTGCCAGCCATGAGCAACACCTACAAGCAGATGGAGAAGCACTGGAAGGTAGGGCCGTGTGGGGTTGTGGCGGGCAGGGCCGCATGAGCTTTCACTTGGGGAGCGTGGGCTGCCTCCTGGGCCAAGGGCCACACTCACGTGTCCTTATGTCGCTGCAGGACCACCTGGGCCCATTCATGAGCATCCTGCGTGAGCACCTCGGGGTCATGAAGAAGGACGTACTGGCTGCGCACCAGGCTCAGCTCGCCTCATTTTTCCTAGAGGCCTTGGACTTCAGGGCACAGCACTCAGAGGTCAGCTCTTTTCCACCCCTAAGACCCCCCCCAAGGGTCCTGTTACTGAAGATCATTTAAAGTGAGATGTCTGTGCTCTGGCTCCTATGTCCATTCTTCTGTTTGCAGCACGATCTGAAAGAAGTTGGGAAGACGGAAGACTGCATTGTTGACTGTCTGGTGGCCATGGTGGTGAAGCTCTCAGAAGTCTCCTTCAGGCCCCTGTTCTTCAAGGTCAGCCGTGTCTTTCGTACTTCCCGTGTGTGATGTGAACACACACTTTGCCGTCACGGCAGAACTTGCCTGGTGTGGAAGATGCCAACACCACTTTGTCTTTTCAGTTGTTTGACTGGGCCAAGACCGAGGGTGCCCCCAGAGACAGGCTACTGACGTTTTACAACCTGGCAGATCACATTGCCGACAAGCTGAAAGGTCTCTTCACCCTGTTTGCTGGGCATCTGGTAAAGCCTTTTGCTGACACCTTAAACCAGGTGAACATCTCCAAAACAGGTGTGTGGCTATGCAGGGTCACTGGCTCACTGATGTGTTTACAGGGAGCGCATAAGGGCGGACAGGGTGCTCAGGGAGGAGACTAGTGGGGGTCAGCTGTTACCTCGTAGTCAGCAAGCATAGTATTACTGCCCTGCGGGGGGGGGGGGGGAGCGATTACATGAATGATTAGTAATGTTAGGTCATTGGAAGAAACTCTGAAGCATTAGAATTGGTTAATTCTCTAAAGCTAGTTAACCACCCACTTGGCAGTTGAGGGAGCTTAACTCTGCAATTGGCCCTGAAGTCCTACCTCTCACAGAAGCACATCATCTGGGGCTGGCAGGATCCCTAGATCATCACAGACACACTTGCCTGGTAACACTGGATATGCATGCCTCACCATCTGATTTTCCTCTGTTCACAGACGAAGCGTTTTTTGATTCTGAAAATGACCCTGAGAAGTGTTGCTTGCTGCTGCAGCTTATTTTGAACTGTTTACACAAAATCTTCCTTTTTGACACTCAGAACTTTTTGAGTAAAGAGCGAGCGGAGGCGCTGCTGTCACCCCTGGTAGATCAGGTAATGACCACAGCTATCCCATCTCCCGAGCAAGCTAGCCCTTCGCTGGCACATCTCCACGTTCCCTGTCTGCAGACAGTGGCTGGCCAGCCATCGGATTTGAGCCTTCAAAGCTACTGAATATTCTTAATGATGTTTTGTTTGCACTTCAAAATTGATTTCTCACAAATTTAACTCAACTTCATACTGAAATTCTTTTTTTTTTTTAATGGAGACATGATATAAGGTCTTATAAAATTTTGATTACCTTTCTTAAGAATGCTTTAGAGCTTGGCTCCTTTCTGAAGGAACTTGTCTGTGATGTTCCGCTCTTGAGAAGGAGTTCTGGAAGCCCGTACAGTTAAGCCCTTAGGGGTCCCAGAAGGCGGTAAACATACTTTAGAGGCTTCTGGACTGTCTGTCTGCCTTGTGATGCTGCCGTCATCATAAGCCAGGGCCGACTGTTTGTATCATGCCCGCCCAGACACACTGTGCCTCTCAGGACGGACAGTCCTGCCCCAGGGGCTGTACAGCTCTGGAGGCATCACACAGGAAACAGCCCGTGGCTCAGAGTCTGTCTTACCCCCACAGCTTGAAAACAGGCTCGGGGGAGAAGAGCGGTTCCAGGAGCGGGTGACACAGCACCTGGTCCCCTGTATCGGGCAGTTTGCGGTGGCCATGGCGGATGACACTCTGTGGAAGCCTCTCAACTACCAGATCCTGCTGAAGACACGAGACTCTTCACCCAAGGTCAGCAGCTGGCCACCTAAGGGTCAGACAGCTCGGTGCTGCTGTTGTCACCATAGGCAGCATCTGGTAACCAGGTGGAACTAACTAGGAAAAAAAGGACACCCCTGCTCCCATGTTAGGCAGACATCTGAGCGTGTCAAGTTGTGGGTCTGTCTTATAAGGTAGAAATAAGTAACAGCAACGTCTCACCAGGCAGCAGGCAAAAGTACCAAAACTCTCTCCAAGCAGTTGGATGTTTGAATGGCACAAACTTCAGTTCCTTTTGTTTTGCAGCTGATGTTTATGTTTCAGAGTTCTGTCAGAGATGTGCTTTAGTCCACAGAAGAGTCCTCTGTGGTTCTGAGGTGGAACAGAGCAGGGAGACCCCAGGGAGTGGGCAAGCTCCATCCTGAAGTCTGTCTTTAAGTAGAACTTGTTCCCAAGTCAGGGCTGAGAAGGTCCATATCTACCACCAGTCAGCCGGAGGTCTGTCCCCATGTTTAGTGTTAGAGGGCCCCAGAGAACGCAGGAGAGGCACCTCCAGACAGCCTGAAGCATCTGCAATGCAGCAATAACACTTGAAGCTTATGGGGAAATGGCAAGACATTTCTCAGTACAAGCCATCACATGTACACAAGATGTGTCATCATAGAGTATTATTTTGTTTGCTAACCAAGAACATCCTCACTCAGCACAAGTAGATAGATAGAAGTGGGTTCTAAACAGCTGCCTTGCAGCATCCATATATTCTATAAACTAGCCCGACCTGAGGGAGGAGTGGTCAGACCTCTCATGCAGAGCTGTTCCCAGTGGGAGCTCGCATTCCTCACACAGGTCTTGGGGAGACACCCAGCACTTGGGACAGTCCCCCACCTAGCTGTCCCAGGACAGCATGGCCGGGTTTTCTCCTCCTCCAGGGTGGGTAGTGATGCAGAGAAATTTGAAGACACCCTCGAGTTTCCATGTGTTACTAGGTTATCCTATTAGACAGGTGCCCTTGTTAAATCTGAGGAACATTTACAGAGGGGTGTGAAATAGGAGAATTAACATTTAGTTTATAAGGGCTGGAGCTTGGTTTCTAAGACGGCACATCCAGCCCTGGATTCCACCTCTGCTCGTCCTCCCTCCAGGTTCGATTTGCTGCCTTGATTACTGTGGTGGCGATGGCCGAGAAGCTGGGGGGAATTACATCGTCCTGCTGCCCGAGTCCATCCCGTTCCTAGCAGAGCTGATGGAAGGTAATCACTGAGCAGGGACTGCAGGAAAGCCGTGTGGAGAGCGCTGGCAGTAGTGGGGTGCCCTGGGTTGGCAGGGAGCCCTGGAGCACAGCATGAGGAGTGCAGAGGGGGGTGCGGCAGATAGACTGGTGTCTTCTCATTAACCTCACCCATTTATAAAATTCTCTTGGTCCCCAGTTAATGGGGTTATTATATCTCAATTTGTTTAATAGTATGTCTTAACGATAGTAATCAATATTTTTAGATGGATACCATCCAGGGGCAATAGGACATGCATTAATGATGCCTGGTTTTGATTTGGTATCCCTGTGGGGTGCTTCCTACAGATGATCTCATTTCATTCTCAGAGGAGGTAGGGCCGCTCACCCTACTTTACCGAACAGGAAATTAGCAGCTTAACAGGATTAAATGATTTCATGAAAGCAGTGCAGCTGGTGAGCGGCAGGAACTGGGCTTAGACCAGGTCTTTGCATTGCCGACACGTGCCCCTCACCACCATGAGCACTTCTCAGACCCAGGGCAGTGAGAACTGACCACTGCTGTGCTGACGGCCCCATGTCCCTCAGGGTCTGTGCCCTCCTCATCTGTGCGCCCTGGAGAGGAGGCAGTGGGCGCTGCTGCAGTAGTCACAACGGGGGCCTTGTGACCAGCTTCCGGCAGGGCCTGCATCTGAGCCGGGTGTGAGGGCCCTCAGGGTGGTTCTGGTGCCTTCTGTCCTTCAAGTGCTTTGTTCCATGTTTTCCGTGTAATGACTGCTGGGAAATGCAAGCTGTTAAGAGCAAGACAAGCAGGAAGGCAGACTCTGATCTATTTTTATTCTTTTTAGACGAATGTGAAGAAGTTGAGCATCAGTGCCAAAAGACTATCCAACAGCTGGAGGTGATCCTGGGCGAGCCGCTTCAGAGCTACTTCTGAAATGCTGCTTCTGCGTCTTGCACTGTTCAGGCAACTTTGATGGTTTTGCCTTTTATTTTAGGTGCCATGTTTTTGGTGGTACCTAAACCCCTACTTGGACTAAAGTTCTTTAATCACTTTTTTACAGAATTCCCTTCTAGTTTGTGTTGCCACACAAGCCCTTCCTCCCCATTGTACATATTTACAAAACCAGTAAATGATGGTGTTTTTATACAGGCTGCTGTATTTGTTTGTTTATTTTACATAATCTTTTTGAATAAAGTTATTATGATCACAGGCATGTTTAATTCTGCACCCAGAGTTAAGTAAGGGCCTCATTTAGATTGGAAGCCTTCACCCTGGGGAGAAATGTACCATATATACATGGCATCCACATCAGCATCTTCGCTCATCATAAGTAAAGATAACACCTTTTATTGTACAAAATTGGAGCTATTCATGTTCCATCTGGGATCGATACCATTTGAATCTATTCTTTGTGCCCCTAAAGGGAATGGACTCTGTGGTGTCCCTTCTCCTTCCACCTTTGCCAGGATGGGGAGGAGCAGGACGGCTGCTTAGGAAGCAGCCCCACTTGGCTGATGACCCAGAAGGACCTGGGAATGGGAGGTTGCACCAGGGTCCCACCAGGACTAAAAATTCTGTCTCCATAGGGGCTAACCAAGAATTACTGACATGAGCAGGCGGAGGGAGGACTGTTTATTTCCCCAATACTTTGAAGTTCTATAATCACTAGTACTGTGTCAAGATGAAGCCAGGAGGGGGAAAGCTCAAAATGAAACAAATCTGCCTTTATTTTTTTCAAAGCATCTGAAAAACTGTCCCATAGAATGCTTACAATTGGGTTTGAAAACCTTTAATCTGACTTACTCTAGACATTTAATCTAGCTTGCTAGGAATGTATAATTCTCTTTGAATAAAGTTCATTAATTAGCTTGCTTCTCCAAAAAAAGCACACGTAAGATTCTGTATTTATTCTATTAAAAAGACTTAGCAATACTTTAATGTAAAGCAAAAAAATGAAAACTTGGGTTTAAAGTTTATAGAAAGCATCACAAATGTGCTATTTTCTTTTTTCCTGAATGGCCTACAGTCTACAGTCAAGTGCCTTTACGTCTTCATTAAAGGAAAAACAAACGCCAAGGGTTCCAGGGCCCTCGTGCCTGCTACAGGCAGACCCCAGCGCTTCTGCCCTCAATGCCACTTCAGGCTTGGCAGTTTAACCTGGAAGGCCAGCACCTTCCCTAGAGTACTTTTTAAAAATAAGAGCCTGACAATTGTATTCTCTCTAATATATGGATAATATACTAATAAATACTGCTAATTTATTCCAAATATACTAATCTCTTCTGAATTTGTCTCTAAAGCTAGCAGAATCGGCCTGAACACTGCATGTGCCAGAGATCTGGCTGATCTAAGCTTGCCCTGCTCCCAAACCTTGGAAATTTCTCCTAACAAGATCTGACCTGTAAGGGCTTTACACAGAATTTCTGCCAAGTCACTTCAAAGAACAGAACTATTACAGAAATTTAACCATTTAGCTTGCTGATACAGGTCTGATTTAACCACTTAAAAAGGAGACCCATGTTTTGCTCTCAACTAACGATGATGGGCAGATCTTTAGACAAGAGGTTAAGACAAACTGTTAAGCTTTGTATGTGAGAAAGCAACATTATCTTTCTTAGCCTCTTATCACTGGATTTTTCAATTGGTGAATGTGTTCTAGCTCTTATATCCCAATGTTTTTTGTTAACACTAAAATTGTTCTGGAAGTGGATTGCACACTGCCTGTACTTTAAGTTTCCTGCGCAAGGACATACCGACCTTTGACTCACCCTTTGCTCAAATATTCTAGAATGCACGTAGCTGGACATCGAGTCAGTGTCAACGCAATTCTTTTGTTTGTATTGCTTCTTACCTTCATGTTTGTGCTTTGTTAGCTAGCAAAGCTAGATGTTTATTATGCTAAAGAGAATAAATTACCAGATGTACGTTGAGATCAACCTTTTCCATTACAGGCTATGACAAAACATGGGTTATGAAGTGATAACACAATCTCTCAACCTGGGTGAGCACAAGCTCTGCTGGTCTTGGGTCTACCCCCCCCCAGCTTCCAGCAGTGCTGACTGGCAAATGCTCAATTCGCATTAACTGTTACAGGAGGCACTTACGCACACCTGCCAGATGGTAAGTGGGGTTACTAAAGAGACCAGCGTCATTGGAGCAAGAGCAGAGTGGGCTGGTCATGGCTTTTCCTCATTCTGTGCCCCAGGGCTGAGAAGGCCCAGAGACATTATACAAGCTTGTTTAAGCAATAGAATGATGGATGCGCTTTCACCAGGCCAGAGGTAGGAAGCCATTCTGTATTTGGCTTTGCAGCAGTCACATCACTACCAGCTCCGGACTTCCAGGAGGTTGATGTCGCCGTTGATCTCCACGGTGTCAATGCTGCTCAGCTCTCTAAACCTGTGCTTGTACTCCAAGCTGTGCACACCATTTATTGCCACCTTGAACTCCCTAACATCACAATAAATTATCATCTGAAAGAAAAGAACACCAGTGGTTTCCTTTAAGAGACTTTGCTGGCTGCACACCACTGGAATGTCAAGAATTACACCACTTGGTTTGCATTACACAGAGCTCCTTTCACTGTCTTACTCTCCAAGGCATCACCCTTAGTAGCACGCATACGGGGAGGGGCACCCCTGCCCTGCCACGCTCAGGGAAGCTGCTCTCCACATGCCTGCGACCTCACCCAGCCCAGGCCTCCTGCATAGGAGAGCCGTAACAAATTATGGGTAACACTGAGAAGAGGGGAATACTGGCTTGTGCTCATGCAAAACTTGTACCTAGACCAAGAAGCTGCTGTCTAAAGAGAACAAGGGCTTGGTTTGTAATCACGGAAGGTTGTGTGTTAGGTCCTTCACACCTATTCAATCTCTATGCTGAACAGTCAAGAAACTGGGCTTTAGGAAGAAGAATGTGGCATCAGGATTGGAGGAAGACTCATCAAGAACCTTAGCTATGCAGATGACATAACTGCAGAAAGTGAGGAGGATGTGAAGCACTTGGTGCAGAAGATCAATAAGGATACATCTCAGTATCAAGAAAACAAAAATCCTAACCACTGAATCAACAGGCTCAGCATCATGATAGATGGAGAAAAGACTGAAGCTATGAACGGGATCATCCTACCCTTGGCACCAGCAGTCAAGAAATCAAAAGACCAGTGGCAATGGAAAAATCTGTCAAGGATCTCTCCAGAGTACTAAAGAGCAACGATAACAGTCTAAAGATTAAGGTGGCCTGATCCAAGCCCAAGTTTTCTCAATTGCTTGTCACGTGCATCTGAAAGCAGGACAATGTCTAAAGATAGAAGAATCAAAAGCTTTGAGCTGTGATGTTGGAGAAGAGCACTGATTATTCAATGGGCTGCCAAGAGAACAAGCAGGTCTGCAATGGACAGAGTGAAACCAGGGTGCTCACTGGAGCAGAGGTAGTGAAACTGCATCTCACATACCTTGGGCATGTTGCCAGGAGGATCCAGTCCTCAGAGGATATTATGCTTGGATGAGCACAGGGACAGCATAGGAGAGGGGAGACCTGGATGAGGTGGATTGACACAATGACTGGCAATGGAGTCAGGTGTGCCAGAGATGGTGAGGTTGGCTAAGGATAGGGCAGGGTTCAGAGCCATCGCTACAATGCATCGTGGCCAATGCAATGTTATGTAACAACCACCTGGAAAACTTCCATTTTTTTTCCTTCAGGCCTTCTGAATACCAAACCATCTGTCACTCCCCAGGCCCGTTCCATGATGAGTCACCTCCGTTAGTCCACTTAAGAGCCACTGCATAAGGCTAGAACTGAGACAAAGCAAACCATATTTCACAATGTTCCACTCAGCCTTTTAGGAATTTTTAAGCGCTTTTAACAAGCCCCCTTGATTGAGTTCTCAAGAATTCAAATGGCCCAGAGCACGTGACAGACAGTTGGTGGATACATGGTAGAGCCTGATTCCTACCAGTGACTGTGACAAGTGACCACATAAGGAGTTAAGACCCGAATTGCCCGGGGGTTAACCTTGTAAGGCACCCTGCACCCACATCTCAAGAAGTTATTCTCTGCTTAGCATTCCAGAAATGTATTCTGGCAAAGGTTTATGATATTCCAAAGACCTAAAAGCCTTTGTCCTCACTGTCTCCTCCTGTGTGATCTACAGCCTCTAAAAACCTGCTGCAGGGTCAATTCCCACTGACAACACCCAGCAACAAAAACATACACAAACAGCTCTGGGAACAGTCTACAGCGAGCTGCACTGATGACTCACTGGCTGCCTACACCTGGTGATTAAATCCACCATCAGCTGCAAGGAAGAAAGATGGGCAGTTTACTATGATGTTACAGACCTCAAGTACTTAGAGGCTTGGAAACGTGATTGGAGGGACACTTACGGAACCAGCTTCGACGGGAGGGAGCAATAATACGCAAAGGAGTCCTTGCAGCAGGGTGGTTATGAACAAGGCAGCTCGCCAAAAGGCCAGCAATCCGAACCCCCTAGGTGTGGTGTTCTTACATAAAGATGGCAGCCTTGGAACCCAGTTTGGCTCTTTCCCATTGGGTCACCAAGAGGTGAACTGACTCCATAACTATGGAGTTTGCGGGACTTTCCCCTGAAACTTGGGAGAAAGGATTGCCACCTAAAACTCCACAACCAACACGGGGGATGAAGGAGCAGTAAAGGTAGATGGACGTTTTCTGTCTGCACAGGGTTTCTACAAGGAGGTGCAAGCAAGGGACTCCCTGGAGACAAGGACAGTGAAGCTGCACCTCACAGGACAGCAAACTGTCAGAAGGGGCCAGTCCTTGGAAAGAAACATGCTGGGAAAGGTGGAGGCTCGGAAAGAGAGGAAGACCCTCAACAAGATGGACTGACAATGACTATTAACAACAGGCTTGTGTATAGCAGGGATGGTGAGGAGGGCAGGACAGAGCACGGTTCAGATCGGTTACTTCAACAGGGTCAACTCGACAGCTCCTCACAATATTTTCATGCCCACTTGGAATAGTCTAGTCTTGCGACAAGGATCCCCTTAAAATGCCTATTAATTGATACCAGGCTACACAGTAATTTGCAATATGGCAAGCAATATAAATTGCAACACAAATAATGTGGTACAACAGTAGAAGGCTTGGCCATTTTTACTATCCTGTGTTTCAAAAGGATGCATTCAAAATACATCTTTAAGCAAACCCATACATACATTCCCCACCCTCTGCTTGATCATCCTACCCCTTGTTCCCAGGACTGCTTTCTCTGTTTCATTAACAAAATAATAATAATAAATACAAGCTCACCTCAAAGTACATTCCAAGACTAAATGGGAAACAGGTAATATTTCTCTCCTCTTCTCCCCAGGACTCTTGAAGAAAAGAGTTTCTCACAAATGCTTTACTATTCAGGCGTGGGTTCAAGTGTAGCGCAATATCCCTCGACCTTCCTGCTATGAGATCAACATTGAAGCTTTTGAGAGAAGAAAAGAAAGACTTTCATTAGTCAAGGAAGAGAGGGGAGGCACAGGCTCCACGGTTTTAAAATTAGCACAGAACTACCAGTGGCAACAACTGCAGAATGAACGTATGCACTGGGACACGAGGATGCAGATGGAGAGAAGCTTTACACTGACTGAGCCTCCAGCGACATGAGCCTCCCAGCAACGTTATGTGCAAAAGAAGAATGTAAAACCGTCTAAGTCACTGTTCTAAGGCCCAGGGCCTGGCTGGGAAGAAAGGCTTAAAGCTGGTGATGGAACTACTGATTCTGACTGCAGGAACGAAGCAGCCTTCCCACCGGGTGTTCTTTTCTCCTTCGAGTGTGCAGCTAACTAGGAACTAGCTCTCACTCCCAGCTCTTGGGACTTTGGGCTCCACAGGAGATATTCTTCAAGCAGAAGCTTTAACGGTAACATAACTGGAGCCTGATCTTACAGAGTTGCCTGTAATTCCATTTAAGCAAGGGTGGATGCCACCAGGGGCCAGGAAATTAGCAGTGGATCAAAAGGACTGTAAATGCTGCTACCTTCCTGCCCGACACCGAGATGCAGTACTGCTCGGCTGTCTACTCCTCACAATCTAACCTCCGTGAAACCCACCTTCCCAAGGGCGGTCAGAACAGCAGCCCCACTTCTCCCGCCAGGGGAGGCCCTGCAGAAGGGCAAGAGGTGACAGAGCAGCCTGGTCCTGGTGAGGGAATACTGACCCTTTGGCAGCTGCATTCACTTCTCCTTTAATGACAATTGTCCTTCCTGGGCCCATGGAGGAGTGCAGCCTTGCAACAAACGGCAGAGTCTGAAAAGAGACCACAGTCAGGGCCAGGGAGCTGCAGAGAGAGTTCTCTCGGGTAAGAGACCAGATGGCCCACGATGTTTAAAAGCTATCACACTGTCAAGTCCACAGGAGAACCAGGTCTGCTCTGGGCCCACACAGACATGCGGCAGCAGCCAGCAGTGCCCAGCACGCAGCCGGCATGCGTTTCAGAAGCGTTCTAGAGAAGATGGACCCAGGTGGGGGGTGTGCCTGGACATCTAGATGATGAGATGGACCCTCAGGTGGGGCTGCCTGGACCTCTACATGGTAAGATGGACCCCCAGAAGGAGGCCTTCACCTGGGGTCCCAAAGCTATGCTCTACAACCTGCCTGGAGGCGTGGTTGACTGGGGGAGCTGAGAGGATTTACACAAGAGGCCCCAACACGCCCCACCTGCTTAGCGGGGGCAGCTGCCCAGGGATAGCATGAGTGTGAATTGGGGCAGAAGCCATGCTTAACAACTACTGGAGTGTAATCTGTTATGCTAGTTAAGAAAATGGGGCACTCTGCAAACCTTCAAAACACAGCTGGTAGGTAGTATTTTGGAGCAATTTAAAGAGTGACTGACAGTCGGAATTTTGTTCTTGGTGTAGACGGTTCTGGGAGCGACTCTAGCAATGTCTCCTCTGTTATCAGGCTGAAAGGAGACAGTTCTAGGGTAAGACAGGGCCCAAGGTACCTGTCTTCCAGGGTTTAAGCTAGTCTTTCTTGGTCATTTTAATAAAATGTCTCACATGTTATAACCTAGTCAAATATACTTACAAGCTGAGGGACGCCAGACCCTTGTACCTGTTTGAAGACAAAACGATGAGTCAATTCTGAGGCAGGAATGACATCAGTAACACTACACAGCTGAGGCCAAGCCTGACCAGAGTCAGTGGCCCAGGCATTATGAGGTGCTGGAACCGAGCTGTAAGGCCTATGATGACTAGGAACAGTCCGTAACCCTGAGTCCTCTACAAATTTTAACAGCTTTTCCTAATATGATGTCAGCTCTAACTAAAAGTGTCTTACTTGTAAGAACTCAAACTCTTTAAAAGGTCTAGTTTACTGAAAACCTGGGGGTTACTGCCACACATACTAAACCTTGAATTAGTATTAGTCCCTAAAGTCACGTTACTGTGAAATAACTGATCAGCGCACAGAACAAAAGTTAACATCTGGAGTATGGCACTCCACTGGAAAATCAAATCTAAGAGATAGAGGTGTTACTCTCTAGGCGCCAAAATGTGTGGAGGGAGCAGGGAAACCACAACACTGAAACCAAACCACTGGAGCACAACCAAACCACTGGAGCACAGACACAGAGAGTGGGGGACACGGGAGCACCACCACAGGGAGTGGGGGAGACAAGAGCACTACCACAGAGAGTGGGGGACACAGGGACACGGAAGTACCGCCACAGGGAGCAGGGACACAGGGAAACGGGAGCACCACCACAAAGCAGAGACACAGGGGCACTACCACAGGGAACACCACCACAGAGCACAGACACGGGAAGCACCACCACAGGGAGCAGGGGACACAGGGAAACGGGAGCACCACCACAAAGCAGAGACACAGGAACACTGCCACAGGGAGCAGGGGACACGGAAGTACCATCAAAGAGAGCACAGGTCACAGGAGCACCGCCACAGAGAGTGGGGACATGGGACTACTGCGGCCCAACTGGTGTCCATGCAAAACCCAACTCACTGCACTGAGTTGGAACCGACCCAGAGTTGATCCTCCAGCAGGTTTTCAGATGCAGTAAATCACACAGGAGGAGATAGCCCATTCTACTCTGGTGGAGCAGCTGGTGGATTTGAACTGACTGCTTTTGGGATTTCAGCCAACTCCTTACTACTAGGCCACTAGAGCTCCCTAAATATGAGCTGTTACTGTTAATAGGTGCAGTCAAATCAAGATTCACAGCAACCTATGAACAACAGATCTGAACCCCTCCTGTCCTGTACCGTCCACATCCGCTCTGACACACTTGAGCCCATTGCTGCAGTCACTCTGTCAATCTATCTTGTTGAGGGTCTGTCTGCCTCTCTTCGCTGGCCCTCCTCCCTTCCAAGTATGATGTCCCTAGTGGTCACACAAACTGACAGTTTCAGGAAGAGCCTGCCACCATAGGAAGATATGTCTGTTTCCAAATGATTACTTCTAGTACCATATTTAAATATGATTTTTTTTTAATCACATGAGTTTATGACCTGAGTTACATGCAATTAAGTGAATATTTTTAAACTGCTATCTCATAAGATTTAATATTTACATTTTGTTGATTGATCTGTGTCAATTCCACAGAAGATTCTTGAGTATCTTGTAAATCCTGAAAATAAAATGTTGTTATTGTTTTGTACCATCAAGTTGATTGTGACTCATAGTGACCCTACGTACAACAACCCTAAGCCTTTCTCTATCCTGTGCCAATCTTACTGTCTCCGACACTCCTACCCCGATTACTCCAGTCACTGAATCAATCCATCTCATCGCAGGTCTTCTCTCTTGCACTGTCCCTCCACCCTCCCAAGCATGAGAGCCCGCTCCAAGGACTGATCCCACCTTGCAACATGTCCAAAGTATGTCAGATGAAGCTTCAGAATCCTTGCCTCCAAGGAGCAGCCTGGCTTCACCCTCTCCAGGACAAACCTATTTGTTCTCCTAGCAGTCCATGGTATATTCAACACTCTTCTCCAGCACCACAGCTCAAAGGCATCAATTCTCTTTCTATCATCCCTAGTAATTGTCCAGCTTTCTGATGCATAGCAAGTGATTGCAAAGACTAGCAAACAATTAATTTTAGATATGCAAGAACACCTTTCTAAATATGCTTGAAAAACCAAGAATAATTGTTAATGGGACTAAGCATGAAAAAGATGCTTAAAATGCATTCTATGTTAGGGCCTTCTCCAAACTTATCCCCAGCCCATGAAAACAATAAACAGTAAAAAGAAAATAATATAGGCAAGAATGTGGGCGAACGGGCACAGGCAGGGAGAGTACTGTTAAAGGGCAAGTGAGCAGTAGAACCAAAGGTAACCTATAAATGTGCATAGCCTTGGCCTTTACACTGCCAGGGCAGAACTGCAGGGAAATAAATCCTCTGCCATACCACATGAGCTGGACGCTACTCAGTGGCTACTAACAACAGGCAGTCTGATAGATTTACCCTAAGAAGATTAGCATTTTCTAAAGAAGATGGTATGTTATATTATTGCATTGGGAGATGCTAGCTAAAGATGTCTTCCACATGACGTGGTAACAAACATCTCAAAGAAGACCCCACGCTGTGGAGGGTCACCTACCGAGGCAAAGCGGAAGCCGACCGAGTGGATGTTCACTCTGCCATAGATGCCCAGTGTGTTGATCTTCTCAGGGAGAATCCTGTGGGTGTACAGCAGGGTGTGCTTTCCATTCACAGCCACCTACAGACACAGTGGAGACCAACACAAACAGGAAACAGTCAACAATTTATACACAGCCAACTGACAACCCAGGGGCTTGGCTTTAACTTTATGCTGCCCTGCCCCCCATAGATGTCACCTCACATCTGACCCAACTCTGACTGAAGACAGCCACTACACGAGCCACATCTGTCAACTTGTGCGGAGCTCCTGATCTCATGAGATACAAGGGACAGGCGTGCAGCTGTGACTGCATGGAAGGTCGTATGTGTGGAAGTGTGCACTCACAGCATCCCGGGATCAGTGGCCCCTTGAAGGCACAGGTGTGCTGAGACACTGGCCTGGCAAGCCTGCCAGCACGTTCCCTTCAGCACCACATGGTAAGAAAATGCAGGAGTGAGGCCCGAACCCCAGTACATGCCCAGCAGCAAAGCATAGTCTGCAAAGTGGCCCAGCTTCTCGGAGATGCGTTTTTCTCCCTAGGTAGGAAGCACCTGTCCCTCTAGGGGCTGTTATCTGACCCTCAGGGCACAGTGCCTGAGCTGGCGTAGGTACTCAGTACAATCAGTTTCTTCCCCTTTCCTCCCAGACCCCAAGAACCACGCGAGGCTGCATGAGGAACATGGAGCAGAACAGTACGGCCTCTGACTGCAAAGAGCTTCTGGTCTCATTGTCTGGAGTCAGCATCAACTCACACTGGCCTAAGCACACAGAGGTTGGGCTACTGTGACCCATTGGGCTCTCACTGATGGTCACATGGAGAACACCAGGCCTTTCTTCCTAGTCCATCCTAGTCTGGATGCTCAGAGGAAGCCTATTCAGCATCAGAGCCACACACAAGCCTCTAACAAGCAGGTGAGATGCATGGACTGAGTCTCCCACACAGACAGCAAAGATTCAACCCTAGAACCACCACGACCCTCCGCTAACGTCCCATCAGGATGAAAATATTTTTTGTTTTGTTTTATTTTTTTTAAATAATTTTAATGAACATTTACAGAGAGTTTGGATTTCCATTCATTCATTGCTGCACTTCTCTACCCGCCCAGCCCTCTCCCCCCGCCCCCCAGTTCGCTCCTCTCTTTCAAAAGTAAAAGAAAGACTCCCTCCCTGGTACACA